TGTAAAACCACACTCACTCTGAAAAATTGATATCAGCTTAATATCTGCAGATATATACAATTTTAAACAACTACGCCACATTTCCCAAAGAAGCTCAATAACAAGTACAGACTTAAATATTACTATTGATCTGATCTTATTTCTGTCAGTCTTTTTACCACTGACAAAAGGTTTCCTGCACAATGAGTCAACATCAAACACAAAGCCAAGCCTTACTGTACAAATAATAAACAGCTTAAACAAACAGAGCTGGCACTTAAATATACCCTAAACAGTCTGACCCAAAAATATACTACCCAAAAAAGTTAAGAATCACGTCATACTTTCATATTATTACAGTTAAACTGTCATGACGCTTAAGGTCTAGAATATGTTTTTACTTGACCTTATTTTCATAAGTTCTAAACAAATGTTTATGAACCAGTACATAAAAAAATGGCCTGAGAAAATATTTGATGTTGTCAAAGATGTACAAAAGCCTTTGGTGAACTTATAATGGTTTAATGCAACTGAGTGATAAATGTTGATAATGATTCTGTAAACATGATGACAACATTTCCTGGGGACACGACACCCACACACCACAGCTCCTTGTATGGACACAAAATGGCGGCAAGCTGCCCTGGCATTCCGTATGTTCAGTCAATTCATGCCACTTTGACCATACATTAAAACATATATCCCCCATTACTTTATGGGTGTTGAATACATCATGGAGTAGTGTGGTGTATACAAGGCAAGTTAAGCACTGATGTTGGAAAATGTAATCCACTGCTTAGTAAACACTGATTTTCACAGTTGTGTATTCAAAATGATGAGTTTGTACAGCTCCCCAAAAACTGTCGAGCAGATGCTTCGAGCAGTATAGACACCAGGCATGAAAGAACAACTTTATGGATAGACAACTTCCTTCAAGTAGTATAGACACCAGGCATGGAAGAAGAACAACTTTTATGGATAGACAACTTCCTTATTGCAATATCCCGTTAGTCGCCTCTTATAAAAAAGCATGGGTTACTGAAGATCAATTCTAACCCGGATCGTAACTGAGATGAGTACAACAGTATTACAGTTGAATCAAGGCGTGTCAGTTTGATGTGTGATAAAAACCTGAAGTGATGCAGGACTTAGAAGTTTACCGATTTGGTAAAACCCATGAGCACAGGTATGGTGCGGACAAACCCCAATCAACATACAGGGTAATCTGAAGTACATCTTCATGGCTAACTTGTGATTCAAATCCAAGATGATCTGTTTCATACATGTCCAAGGGACATAACTCTAAACTATGTCTTACATGACTTTAAACAGAACTGCCCCACCCCAGCCCAGCCCAACCGACCCCACCCCTGCCCCAAATTGATCCACCATTGCCAGATACTAAGCAGGATATAGCATATTACGTCATTTCACTAATACAGAACTAACCAAGGTCTATGAGTGCATTCAACAATATTGCAGCTATCACAGTGACCTGTAAACAAGTCTGGGTCAGACAAACAGAGCTGAGTAACAGCTCAAGCATCCAGGGTAGGGTGACCCATACAGCCACGAGTGGTGAGGACACGTCTATTCACACCCTGAATTCAGAGAACAGCACATTGCCCATGTATGGCGGTTACGTAGTGTTACTGATTTTACACTAATCACACCAACAGCGGGAGTTAACAGCGTCAACTTCAATGACTTCAATACATTTTAAAATCCATTTTCACCTCTAATATCCATTCAGCCCTCACACAAATAACTTAGCAGAGCAGACGCCATAAATCTGCTGCTTGTTTTGAACTTGCAACTTATGTAAAGTAACCAGATTTGGGGAGAAAACAACTAATCTCTCTGGATTATCACTGGTCTCAAACAAACGTGCACCTGTGTCACTCCCTGCCCAGGACTGTAGTGCTTGGGGGAGTTCCTGATGCTAAACATAAGACACTGATGAACTGCAAACAACAATGAAGAAAGAGGTGTGGTTATTTCATGATAAAAGACTGTTCTTGCCTGATGTTATGACGTCATCAAACATGTGCTTGCATATTGATGATACAAATTGGATAATGCAATTTGAAACGTTTGAGAATAAAAGATATACACCCATTATTCACTGCGGATATTCTTTTGGGGAATATTCAGGAAATACCAAACTTACTCCCCACTTCAGGAAATAGACTTGTCCACACTGCCAACACTGGACTGTATTTAGGGAGACTCCATTACTTCAGGGTAAATATATTTAAATCTTATGAATTACATTTACATTCTTAAGAGGCCTTTTCACAAATGGGGTGTGGCCACATTGCCTTGTCAAAACTGACTTTCGATACAAAGCAGTATTCGGGTACATTCCATGAACTATCACAAAACATACTTACTGGTTCATGATGATATTAAGCCATGGTATAAAGAAGTAGGTTATGAAGACTAACTGCAGTATTCATGCAGACAGTCTATAAAACATACATTTTAAAAATATATTTCTCTTAATGAATTCCAGATTTGAATTTCAACTGTATCAGTCAGGTGGCTAGAGGGGGTGCGTTTCCATAGCAGCAAGCCAGCTAGTGGAGCAAAAATGTCATCAGATTTCATGTTTCACTTTAATTCCAACACTGTCACTGTCAGTGAAAATGACCCACTCCCCTGATCCCCTGCTGTTCAGGGTTAGGGTTGTACACTGATTTGATGCTGACATCACATCAGTAGATATCAACATGCTGAACATTGTTTTTCCCTGGGGGGGTGATAATGGTGCAGTATATTTGTTATCATTATCAAAACTTTAACCGGTTAAATTTAATTCTGTTTTACGGTAAACATTTGTTGTTCTAAGTTCTTTATAACATAAAACTTACAAGACTGTAGTAGTAATATACCTCTCCAACCCCTAACCCGCAAATGAACTGAAGTAAGATGGTTGAAGTTTATTTTGAATATTTCTTTATGTATTATAAACAGTTTTCAGAAAATATCTACATTCATGAATAAGTAAAATTTGAAATTTCACATGTGCTTATCAAATGAGTCAGTCTTTCGTTTTCTTAATATGTAGAGAAAGGGTTGTTGGACATTTATTATGAAGCCCATGTTTATTCTTGTAGGTTAACCTTTGACATCCCAGGCTCTTGCAAGGCACCCATAGCTGTTACAGTCCTGTCACTCATGGGCAGATAACATCTACACTGCTGAGGAGAAGCCAATTAGAGACTAGGAGATGTTTTTAAAGTTTGCACTCTGGCCTTTAATTAAATAATGTTGCTTGCAAAAAATATGAAAGCATTTGGAAGTGATAAACATGAAGAGGAAATTTTCTGGATGTCAACACTTCTGTAATTTAACCTGATGAAGGAGTAAGATTATACTCTGAAACACTGTGTTTCTTATAATGTGAAAGTTAACATCCATAAAATTTCCGCTGTGACTAAATCTTAAATAGTTATACAGGCTGTTATCAGCAAATCACGTTCACTTCCTTGAATGTGGAGAGCAACACAACAATGTCTCGACATGTGATTAATCTGTACTCGAGCATGTTGGGGAGTGATTGAAGTGGAAGATAAAGCTACTGTGTCCACAACATGGAGCTACATGCTGCTACAACATGCAGAGTGGACTCTACACATGGAGTGGAGCAGCAATAGTTGAGTCCTTGTTTTGTGGGGCCACCACATGGAGCTACATGCTGCTACAACATGCAGAGTGGACTCTACACATGGAGTGGAGCAGCAATAGTTGAGTCCTTGTTTTGTGTGTCCACCACATGGAGCTACATGCTGCTACAACATGCAGAGTGGACTCTACACATGGAGTGGAGCAGCAATAGTGGAGTCCTTGTTTTGTGTGTCCACCACATGGAGCTACATGCTGCAGAGTGGACAGAGTACACATGGAGTGGAGCAGCAATAATGGAGTCCTTGTTTTGTGTTTGTGGGGCCACCACATGGAGCTACATGCTGCTACAACATGCAGAGTGGACTGTACACATGGAGTGGAGTAGCAATAGTGGAGTCCTTGTTTTGTGGGGCCACCACATGGAACTACATGCTGCTACAACATGCAGAGTGGACTCTACACATGGAGTGGAGCAGCAATAGTTGAGTCCTTGTTTTGTGTATCCACTATATGGAGCTACATGCTGCTACAACATGCAGAGTGGACTCTACACATGGAGTGGAGCAGCAATAGTTGAGTCCTTGTTTTGTGTGTCCACCACATGGAGCTACATGCTGCTACAACATGCAGAGTGGACTCTACACATGGAGTGGAGCAGCAATAGTTGAGTCCTTGTTTTGTGTGTCCACCACATGGAGCTACATGCTGCTACAACATGCAGAGTGGACTCTACACATGGAGTGGAGCAGCAATAGTGGAGTCCTTGTTTTGTGTGTCCACCACATGGAGCTACATGCTGCTACAACATGCAGAGTGGACTCTACACATGGAGTGGAGCAGCAATAGTTGAGTCCTTGTTTTGTGGGGCCACCACATGGAGCTACATGCTGCTACAACATGCAGAGTGGACTCTACACATGGAGTGGAGCAGCAATAGTTGAGTCCTTGTTTTGTGGGGCCACAACATGGAATTTCCAAGAATGTTGTTTCAAACTTCTGATACCTATGACTGACTAATCAGAATCAAGTAAATTCTAAAATCATGGCAGAATGTCTCTTCACAGCTCTGATCCCTGTGACTAACCAATCAGAATCAAGCATCCAAGTTGAGGCAGCTGTTTCAATCTAGGGTGGTTATTATGATTTGATACCCCTCATTGACCAATCAGAATCATTTAATTTCTGAATTTATGGTAGAATGTAGTTTCACACATCTGATACATCTGACTGGCCAATCAGAATCAACTCATTTCCAAATTCACCTTAGAATCTTTCACTCATAGGTTATCAGTGCCCCAACTGCATGTCAGATTTTAACTAATCAAGACTAAATAAGGAATACCTCGTGTTTGATGGTATGAGCACTGACCTACAATATCTAGGCACAATGACCTACTGGCTCACTGGTGACACGCATGAAGATGAATGGGACACAGTGAAAACATAATCCACCCCAGACTTCATTCAGAGTAGTAACAGGGTGTTTAGTACGAGGGTAGAGACAGATTTTGTAACTCTCTTATCCATGAGTGGATGGGAGAAAAATAACTACCCTAATAAATACTATTTCAAACCCTCCTTAAATATTTGTCTGTTAACTCTTGACCCATTCATGATGACAAGTGAGTTGTTTCCATCACAAAAGTACTTGTGGATTTCCTAGTCATCTGATGGCTTCTGGAATTGTCTCCCTTTCTTTTCCGGAGATGGGCCTGCTTCCTCATCAACAGCCTCCTTCTGTTTCCTTTTCTTCTTAAACTTTTTGGCAATTATACCAACAAGAGATTTATACCTGTAAATATGATAGTGTGTATTTGAGTATATGTTTCTAAATGTACAGACTGTAAACATTAATGACAATTATGATTGTCATTACCACTCATGGCCTGTATTTCAGTCCAACACACTATGATTTTACCACTACTTATATTTTGTCTGTTTCATAAAACATGTTAAGATTGGAGAACGATCTTTTGAACATATTCACTGTTATTTTGTCAAATCATTTGACTTTTAATTTGACCCTTTTTAAGTATAATGCAACTTAAAAATTAATAACTTAATGTTGGTATTTAAAATTTAAACTGCCAAGCTAATGCATCTAAAATTTACCACCTGCTAAAAGGCCAACAATATTTCCTGGGTCACTAATTTCTCACACAAGCAATATCTGGGGAAGTCTGTTTTGTATGACAAATAAAATCATTTGACAAGGTATTAGAGATTAGAGATGTGATGATTCAGAAATTTCAAGACACGATATGTATCACAATATCTTAAAACGATACAATTCGATGCATATCACGATATGCTATCTTTAGTTATTTAGTTATTTTCTTTAAAAAAGTATATTTTGATAACAAGTAACAGTGTACATTTTTTATTTTTTTTTACTTTTTTTGTACAAAGTCAATGTACAGTGAAAAGTCCACTACAGTGGACTCTGTCAATACCGGCCTCTGTAAACACCGGCACTCTGTCTACATCGGCACAAAGTTTCAGTCCGGCAGAAATGCGTTATTATCATTTAGAAACTTCTGTAAACATCGGCATCTGTCTATTCAGGATATCGGCATTGTTTTCAGTCCCAGCGAACAAGTTGTTATGAAAACGGATCTGTAAAAACCGGCACATGAAAGACGGCGTAACCCTTTGATGCAATTAGGTCCAAATGATGTAACAACACAATTGGCTGTGACTGAGATTATTCAGAAACGGGAAGTGTTAATCAGTATCCTGTTAATCGGTGAGTGGTACGTAACACTTACCCTGAGTAATTAATACATGTTGTGGGCAGTTTGACTGTATAAACAAGCAAGTGTTTACATTTTGTTGATTCGCGGGTATTGACTCGAGAGATTATTCAGAAGCGGGAAGTGTCAATCAGTTTCTTGTTAATTAGTGAGTGGCGCGTGTCACTTACTAGAGGCGAATCGTTTGATGAAGCGGTATCGTTAGAAAGCTCTGAACATCAACAATATCACTGTACTCTTGCCGAGTATTTTCACATTGTAAGAAGCGATTTTATTGGATAAAATTTGGTTTCTAACGGCGGCTTTTTCACTAGACTCTGCTTATAAGGGTGAAGTGATTGGTCAAAATCAGACCGTGACCTAAGCAGCCAATCATATTATGGAAATGGATACGGTTTTGGGTAAAATAATGCTATTCTGAACATATTAAAGAAGACATGCTACCTATCGTAAAATTATGGAGCGTATTGGACATATCGTGCTAGGTTATGGCCTATGACAAAAATGCTTCATGCATATATTTTCACATTAAGCATCGTGTCCGGGAGTCAAGACAGAGGCGGTGAAAGCCGAGATGTAACTTGTCAGTGACTTGACAAAAGTATGGAAATAGTAATTTTATATGTACGTTTGACAACTTTTATGAATGTTATTGTTGATTTCAATTTATTTAATGATTTCCTCGATGTTTGAAACATCGTTACTTTGCTCTTTGCTCTATTGTAGACCCGCTGCTGAAGCATAAACAAGAATCGTTGTTTTTAATAACATTCGCGAAAAATAGTTTACAATTTTAATTCTGCCGATAATATATGATCAGTTGAAATTTAATAAGAGATTTCAGACATTTTTATTTGATTTAAACAACATGAATGTGCATTCAGACACTGCCTTGTTTCTTATTCAAACATCTTGATAATGCTAAAGTGACAGTGCGACGACCAGCGAACTTCCGTGTCGCGAAGCGTCATAAGCGAACCTAGCTAAACCGCACTCTGTCAAAACCGGCATTTTATTTGGTCCGACTGATGCGGTATTGACAGAAAGTACACTGTATTTCCAGACATTTCCTGGAATTTTGATGTTGATCTTCCAAATATACAGATATTGAAGTAAACTAAACAGATAACATCTTAACAAAACAGCATAATGCATGAAGACCAAAATTGTAGAAATGATGGTACATTACAATTTATCATTTGAGTTGTAATTATCTAAATTATATGAAATTTCAACCTCTTTTTGAATATGTGAAATATTTGGATGTCTATTCACAAGTCTTGATTTGAAAATATTGTATTTTGTGATAATTATGATGCGGTTGTGCACATCATTTCTTTTCTCAGGGTATCCAAATAATACCTTCTTCTTATCAAAATGAAGAAGAGTGCCTGTTTTATGTTGAATCCACGCAATAACATTATTCCAAATCTCTTTGACAAGATGACATTCATAGAATATGTTTCGACACTTGTTTCACAGAAAGTACACGCATTGGTTTCAATCAGTTTTGTACATTTTGACATAACCATCAATTTCTAGTGAAAATTAACAATTTTAAGGTCAATGGTAAGCATCACGATACAAAAAAAAAAGTATTGATATATTTATCGTCAGATGAAGCTTCACCATTATCGATACTACGATATATCGTCATAGTTGTAGAAGGTATGTTGATACACCTTTACAGAATATTTCAACTGTCAATACCTTTCTGCCATTTCATCCTCAGAGACGTGAGTTTCCTTCTCTCTCTCCTCAGCCGCATCCAGTTCCATCTGAGTATTGTGAATGGCCATCAGTTTCTGTGGATGATACATTAATACAATGCCAGTAGGATGTCGTCTCTTACAGCAATATTTGACCATAGTTTTACAACCCTGTCGCAGATGAAGAATGTCAATTTTCTGGGTTGCGCTTCAGCTTTGGGTCAGGTGAGGTGAAATTGGGTTTAACGTTGTGCTTGAGAATATTTGGCTCATATGACAAGCGTGCATCGCGTGTGTATGTGTATGTCGCGGCTGCTTGTACTAGCCCAGACTGAAGCTGGTTTTATAGTGCTAGCCCACTGAGATACCATGCCGCAGTGAAGCATGAATACCCCACTCAGAGACATTATACTGACTCCGAGCCGACCAGTCCTTGTTGTACCCATTAATGCCGAGCGCCAGGCAGGGACCAACAAGTACCATATTTTAACGTCTTTTGGTATGACGCGGTCGGGGATTGAACCCGCGACCTTCCTCTCTCCGGGCGAACGCTCTAACCACTACACCACGGAGGCGGTGTGCTTCAGCTTTGGACAATGAAGATGAAACCTAAAGTCAGTGGTGAGCATGTTCAGGTTATGGTGATTTGAGTGGTATTGAACTAATATCGCAGCTCCCGTGTGGAAAGACAATGGTCTCAGGCATTTGTCAGTCTGATATAACCCAGAACAACATGTACGAGGCAGACAAACCGAGAAACACAACCAGGAGGAACCAGGTTCTCAACCCACGATAATGATTTCTGATGAGGGTGGTGGGGTAGCCTAGTGGTTAAAGCGTCTGCTCGTCTCGCTGAAGACCTGGGTTCGATTCCCGACATGGGTACAATGTGTGAAGCCCATTTCTGGTGTCCCCTGCCGTTATATTGCTGCAATATTGCTAAAAGCAGGGTAAAACCATACTCACTCACTCACTGTGTAAGATGAAATTAGGAAAATGTATTTGCAATTTTAATCATAAGAATCCTTGTTGAGAATAATTGCTAAATACCTGATCAGGGTAATCAATACTGATCACAGCATCAATACACTGATCACAGAATCAAAACTGATCACAGCATCAATACTTTGATCACAACAATCAATGGGATACTGATCAGCAGCATCAAGATCACTGATCACAGCATCAATACTGATCACAGCATCAATACTGATCACAGCATCAATACTGATCACAGCATCAATACTGATCACAGCATCAATACTGATGATCACAGCATCAAAACTGATCACAGCGTCAAAAATCAAAACTGATCACAGCTGATCTGATCAGATATCAATGCTGCAGCAATGCTGATCACAGCATCAATACTGATCACAGCATCAAAACTGATCACAGCATCAATACTGATCACAGCATCAATACTGATCACAGCATCAATACTGATCACAGCATCACGTCAAAACTGATCACAGCATCAAAACTGATCACAGCATCAAAACTGATCACAGCATCAATACTGATCACAGCATCAATACTGATCACAGCATCAATACTGATCACAGCATCAATACTGATCACAGCATCAATACTGATCACAGCATCAAACTGATCACAGCATCAATACTGATCACAGCATCAATACTGATCACTGATCACAGCATGCTGATCAATACTGATCACAGCATCAATACTGATCACAGCATCAATACTGATCACAGCATCAATACTGATCACAGCATCAAAACTGATCACATACTGATCAATACTGATCACAGCATCAATACTGATCACAGATCACTGAGCATCAATACTGATCACAGCATCAATAACAGCATCAATACTGATCACAGCATCAATACTGATCACAGCATCAATACTGATCACAGCATCAATACTGATCACAGCATCAATACTGATCACAGCATCAAAACTGATCACAGCATCAATACTGATCACAGCGCATCAAAACTGATCACAGCATCAATACTGATCACAGCATCAATACTGATCACATCAATACTGATCACAGCGATCAATACTGATCACAGCATCAATACTGATGATCACAGCATCAAAACTGATCACAGCATCAATACTGATCAGCATCATCAATACTGATGATCACAGCATCAATACTGATCAGCGGCATCAAGCTGATCAAAACTGATCAGCATCAAGCGATACATCAAAACTGATCCAGCAGCATCAATACTGATCACAGCATCACTGATCTGGCTGATCAATACTGCATCACACTGATATCAATACTGATCAGCGCATCAATACTGATCACAGCGCATCAATACTGATCACAGCATCAATACTGATCACTGATCACAGCATCAATACTGATCACAGCATCAATACTGATCACAGCATCAATACTGATCACAGCATCAATACTGATCACAGCATCAATACTGATACTGATCACATGCATCAATACTGACAATACTGATCACAGCATCAATACTGATCACAGCATCAATACTGATCACAGCATCAATACTGATCAATAGCTGATCAAATCAATACTGATCACAGCATCAAACTCTGATCACAGCGTCAATACTGATCATCAATATTGACAGCATCAATACTGATCACAGCATCAATACTGATCACAGCATCAATACTGATCACAGCATCAATACTGATCACAGCATCAAAACTGATCACAGCATCAATACTGATCACAGCATCAATACTGATCACAGCATCAATACTGATCACAGCATCAATACTGATCACAGCATCAATACTGATCACAGCATCAATACTGATTACAGTATCAATACTACTATCAATAAACTGATCAAACTCATGATCATGAAAACAGGACATGAACACAATGGATAAAGCAGTTTGTTCAGGATTTTACTTACTTCAACGTCTGGATTAAAACCTTTAAAGGACATACGACCATAGCAAAGGTTCTCACACACAACATAGCTGGGCTGGATATCATAGCGGCTCCTGCAATAAACATGTGCAGTAACAACGATTAAGTTGATAAATGTTCATTTGTTTGTTTTGTTTAATGTCACATTTATCAAAATTCCATGCATATGAAAGTGTTCTGATGTACACATGTAGTGCCTAGGCTAATACATGTACCTTAAAGATGCTTTAGGAATGTTGGTGAGTATTGTACACGATAATCTAATAAGTGAGTGAGTTTAAAGTCACACTGCATTGACTGTTAGTTTTGTTGTATTATGCACACACAGCAATATTCTAGCAATATGGTGGTGTTCTGTAATTAACTGAGTCTGACCCACACAGTCCAGTAATTAATAGCATGAGCACTGATCTATGCAATTGGGAAATGATGACAACCAAATGGTGTCAACCAAGCCAGTGAGCTTGACCACATGATCCCCCTAGTCGTCTCTTATGACAGGCATGGGTTGCTGAAGACCCATTCTAACCCAGATCTTCACGGGTAAAATCACACTGTAAATTATGCAACAGTAACATGGAGCTTGACAGCAGATGCGTTTGAAGATTTTAATGACTAGAAGACTGGTTTCAGCATGTTGAGGACAATGTTCATCTGCCTAGTCCACATAGTGCCACAATTGCAAATCTAGCTATGTCTTTGCAGCCTGTTACCAAGGTTACTAAGTCTAAGCTAGTCAAATTAGTGGTTGACAGCTTGAAAAATGGTTGATATCAGTGACAACTGCACCACAAAAATAAGCAGAACATTGTGAACTCACTGTTTCTTTGGAAGTGGAGGGACATCCATCACCCAGTGCTCATCATCAATGGCTCTGTTATTCTCTTCTTCATTCTGTTCTTTCTCAATACGGAGAACACTCCTCTGCATGAACTGTATTTATAGAATTTCTCAATTAATGATCATCATATTCTATACTCAGGTCAAGTAAGTTGGCTTAAGGGGTATTTTCTTCCTAATCAGTTGACCTTGGCTAGAATGCACTTTACCGGGCACAGCCCTCGCTGCTCCCTTTACGATCCTTAGGGTTAGCGTTTAGGGTTAGGGTATGCCACCCTTTACGATCCTTGGGATTAGGGTGTGCCACCCTTTACGATCCTTAGAGTTAGGCACCCTTTACGATCCTTAGGGTTAGGGATTAGGGTTAGGGAACCCAGCAACGCTAATTAATCTGAAAAAGTGCGCCCGGTAAAGTGCAGTACTCCCCAGACCTTTAGAGGTACAAACGAAGGCTTTAACCACTTGACTACCCCTTGGATGATCCATTCAGACCACTGCAGATCCACTAATGATGGTCATTTTCTGCAACGTTTCAGATATTACACTTGTATAATGAGTTTAGTTAACCTTACCTTCATTTGTAGCACATTTTTTGACAGTTTTGTTGGATATGAACTATTCTTTTCATTTGCCATTTTTCGTATCGTGATATTTAAGTGCTGTATAGGGGCAGAAACATTGGCTTCTACAACGTTATCCGTGGTTGTTTATATTCGAGCACACGTGCTTCCGGTACTTCCGGTTGATTTAGACCGGGACCCTTCTCTTCTTCGCTTGCAGCGGCGAGAAACGTAAGCGCTCTAGGACAGGCAACCCTGTCTATCTGGTGATAGGGAGCAATCATTTATTTATAAGAAAAATCAAGGGTATTTTATGGTTATATACAAATATGATGAAGAAAAAAACAATTTTATCAATTGTTACACAATACTACTACTTTGGTTTTAAATGGATTTGTATCGAGGGTAATAAAAGTACCAACAGTATTTCCGCACAATAAAAGGTCCCTTTTGTGGATTTACGGCGCGAATGTGAAGTGATTTGTCACATGTCATCAGCTGGTAACTCGCCAGAATTTACTGTGAAGGTCATAAACCGTTAGAAGAAAAGTTTATTTTTCAAGAGAAATGCACAAACCTCCCCAAGTAACCACAGACATAGTGAGTTCTCAGAAATGAAAGTGAAAGTACGAGTACTGAAACCTAGGGCACTTCATACTGCAACAAATTGAACCCCCTATTAGTGTATGACATAAGTAAACAGTAGTTTCTACACAAGCAGTTTGAGAACATGATGAATACGGCAGTAGAAGGTGAAGTATTAGTGAAGATAGTATTGTCATGTGGACTTCATGTTAAGATTTCTTTTCAAAGGAACACAAAGTAACTATACAGTGTTCAAACTAATCATGCGAAATACACATGGCAAGAGCCAGGAATCAAGCAGGGTGAAGCATTGTCTTTTGCATATTTTGGTATAGAGAAGATGTTACGTTAGACATTATGAAGCTTTGTTTGCAGATATTAGCACATTTACATTATCCTTTCAGTTTTCCCTTCTGACACAAAATCAATTGGCAAATTATTAAATACTCTGTCACTCACATACACTTGAGCTTAACATCTAATGCCTGGTAGCAATTTCAGTTCTTGCCATATCAGCTCATTCCTCAACACTTGCTGCACTGAGGATTATAAGATAGGATGAGTGGTCCAAATAGCAGTGGCATTACACCAAAGTATCTGAAGACTGTGAAGCCTGTTGCTTGTGTTCCCCGCTTCGATATTGCTGGACTATTGCTCACAGCTTGACAACTAATATATCCGTATTCATCTTATTTGTATTTGTTTGACTTTATGTACAATTATATGTAATTTATTATTTTATAGTCTCATAACCTATTTTGCGTGGCTCACTTTTTATAGATATATGATTTTATGCTTTTGTACCATATGTATTTTATGTATGAATTGAGGTGAGACTTTTATGAATTATCTCTGTCTGTCTGTCTGCATAAATGTTACTCTCAGACTCTCTTGATAAGTATGAAACAAAGAGTAATTAAGCAAGAGGTATTAATCCTGATCTGTTTTTGTTTATTTGTTTGTTTGTTGTAGATCCATTTTTGACATTGCATGATCAAGAGGATACTTGATTTGTTTCAGCAAAATGACAACAAACAACATGGGAGACAACTGGCAAGATATTACAATCACAGAGGTGGGTTAGGTGTCTTTGCTTCAGTTTACAAAAAAATACCTAGGAAGTACTGGCTTTTCTTTAATAAGCATCCCCACTCCAAAGTCATATGTATTATTGCCCTTCAGTCAGCCCCAAATTCTACATGTCTAGTAGCCTAGTGGTTAAAGTGTACGCTCTCACACCGAAGACCTGGGTTCGATCCCCCACATAGGTACAATGTGTGAAGCCCATTTTTGGTGTCCCATGATATTGCTGGACACTATCTCACCCACTTATGTCTTTGATGACTGATGTTTTACAGCTGTATACACACTGATGCAAATAATAAATGTGGATATTGACAATAAATTTAACTTGTTTGTAAAGTGTCAATAACTGCTCCTTTTGCCAACTTTCTACATGCTCATGAGAATAGATTTGAGGTATTGAAACATTCAACATAGGGTGTCTCGAGATAACAGGATCCAACTGTAGTTCAAACGTGTTAGAGGGTCAAATTCTCCGGACCAACTGCAGATAAGTTTTTGGGTCATTGAGTTATGTACTAGCTTGTGTTCATCTCAATTGGGTATCCTAATTTTCCTTTGAGTAACCAAATAAATTGTACTCAGCTCACTCAAAGTTAATTGGGTATTTTGCCATTTTCCGTTAATTTTAAAAATATAATAAAGTTTAGATGTTAGTGTTTGTTATTTATATTTGATCTGTAATATGAGAAACGATAAGAAAGACTGCAAGTTGTCAAGTTCATGTCCTGAAAATTAGTGAAATACAACCTCTCAGTATACCTCAGGTACGCAAGCTAAGATTTGACATTGTCATGTGTACGCATGTAAAATCACAATTATTGAGTATTTACAAAATTTCAAGCCTACTTGTACGCAAAAGACTTAATAGGAATTGAGTTTTCTCATAAATATTTGCGTAATTTACGCAGATACGCAGCTTATCTGTACCTCTGCGACTGTAACATATATTTTGGTCTCTCTCTTATGTCATTATGCCTTGTCTGTACAGACAATTGTTATGTTCACTGTGTCCTCTGATTGTTTTCGTCTGTTTGCAGATTACAGATCCTGGCAACTTCCTGGCCAAGGAATGCCCGGGGAATGAATATGTCAAAGGAATGTTGCAAGTTCAACAAAATGCAGGATCAGATGAACCAGTTTTTCAGCAATGAGCAAGCTGTGTCCACCATTCCTACCCAGCCTGCAGTGGTAAGTGGCCCTTTTCGTGTCAGCTGAGGTGGTACATAGACTGATCAGCACAGGCCATTACAGCAATACCTGTATATAGAGAATACTACACTCAGTCTCATTACATACAAATTATATGAAACTCGTGTCCTTTCTATGGTATCTGACCGAGCGAAAGCAAATTGCTTCATTCGGCTAACATCACTGGTGGAAACATTGCGTTTATGTTTTTTGACGGATATAATGTCTCAGTTCGACTCACACTTAAACAGCGACATGGCAACGTTCGCAATGTTTACATTCCCTAAATGCATTTAAGTTGTAGAATTAATGAATTCACGTGTTTGTTATGAATGAAAAAATAGTTACGTCAGAATGTGACCTAATTGAGAGGTAATCGGTTATCCAATAAAATCGTTACAATCTCAGGTCAAGTCGTTACGGCACAGGTCAACGCGATACGACACTCGTGTGACGTACGAGATTAGTATGCAACTACCCATACGTTGACCACGTGGGTAATAAAAAAGATTTATCTGCACCTGCTCAGATATTCAGCCCCCAGTCTGAAATGAGCCCCAAAACTTCTCAAATTGGATTTCCAAATTCCTGTTATGTAGCAATAAGTTATGTTATGACTTTGTACATGTGACTTGTATTTAAGTGAGTGCACAAAAGTTTGTAAGTTGCTAAACGTTTTCACACATTATTATTGGTTGAAATGGCTCAAGCTTACTTTGTTACGGTTTTGTCTCTTTTGCTTTTACCTTGTTGTCTATTGTCCTTTGTTGAACTGTAACAATTGTGTAGGCTGACCTGACCTATCCTACATGAATGACTTTTTCATATCTCCTGCTTAGTCATTAATGGATTCATGCCATGCAAGGAAATTTATATTTGTTTAAAGTAATTATTCAATAAAACTTATAATGCCAACTCCATGCATATTGCATCATGGTTGTACGTCTGCTTTGTAAGTGTTGTCAGATGTCAATGTTCGATACTTCTCAGTTAAATGGGGGCGGTGGGGTAGGCTAGTTGTTAAAACTTTTGCTTGTCACGCCAAGGACCTGGGTTCGATTCCCGATATGGGGGACCACCTCCGTGGTGTAGTGGTTAGAGTATCCGCCCGGAGAGAGGAAGGTCACGGGTTCACCCCGGCTGCGTCATACTAAAAGACGTTAAAAATAAGGTACTTGTTGGTTCCTGCCTGGCCTCGGCATTAATGGGTACAACAAGGACTGGTCGGCTCGGAGTCAGTATACTGTGTCTGAGTGAGGTATTCATGCTTAACTGCTGAGCTAGTACAAGCAGCCACACATACACACACATACATCATCATATGAGCGAAATATTCTTAAGTGCGATGTTAAACCACATTTCACCTCACCTCACTTCCCCACATGGGTACAATGTGTGAAGCCCATTTATGGTGTCCCCCACTGCGATATTGCTGGAATATTGCTAAAAGCGTCGTAAAACCATACTCACTCACTCACTCACTCTCAGTTAAATACATTTTACATGTATAGACTTTGGGTTGGCACACAAATTTATTGATTAGTAAGGTATAGGAAGGCCTTATTCTTTCCAACAGTGTCTGTTTTTTGTTTTTCTAAAATCTAAAAGTTATACTCTTTAATCTAAATAAAAGATGAAACCACTCTGTTTCAGGGTGATGTGTATGCAGGGAAGCGACCGAGTGATCGACGGTGGTACCGTGTGGAGGTCGAGAGGATAATGCAGACATCCAGGGGACCCCAGGCTTCGTGAGTTCATGAACTGATACTTGTATAATATGTGAAGGCCCAGCTTGCCCAGTTTTGTAGAACATGTTCACTCTCTGTGCAGAGTTGTGTCCCCTGGATGTGCTAGTAACATGATCATGGTTTGGATCCTGGTTCAACCAGATCGGTTTTGGTTTGCCAGCACCTTATCATTGTGTTTACTATAGTGGTATCTTCATGATATGGCTGAAATATTGTCGATGTGATGTTAAATATTAACTCACTCACTACTACAGAGGTAAATGTATAAGACATGCATCACTTCAAGATTTCCTCACACATCTAGTTATACAGTCGATCACCGTTGTGTCGAACTCTGATAACTCGATATCTCGGTTGTCTCGATATAACATCTCGGTCCCAGCTAAAACCATCATAATTTATCATATGTTTCCTTATCCTGACTCATGCTTATTTGCTTTCTCTTCCTTCTATGCGAATGGCAGTGGAACACTTAGAATCCCTTGTAGTTCCCTGAAGAGGACGTAAAAGTTCTCTCACCCACGAGTTGCCTCCCTTTTCCCGCGCAAACAGTCATGTGAACTGCCATGCTTGTCACTCTCCTTCATCGCGGATGGTTGGGCGAACACTGGAGTCCTGTATACGGCACCATATCCTTAAATATTTTAGATTTTGTATTCAAATTTAAGCTGTGTATGATTTTGGTTATATTTAGTTTTCATCGTATGCCAAAAGTTTGGAAAAATTATTCATATTTTGTGACATTTATTCATCATAATGTAGTTTGTTTACATTTGATGAAGTCTTGCAGTGATTGCAGGTACCGGCTATCAGCGGCTGAATCTTCTCCCCCAATGCCCCTCATGCATTAATCCATGTTCTTCCAGCTTGCGTTGCAGATACTGTATTAAATTATCATATTTGCAATTTAATCATTAATTATCTTATATCTATAGACGGGGGATAGACCAGGAGAGGAAGTCATCTCAAGATACTGGTAATAATACCGGTAACCGTATGTTGTTAACTACTTCTGAAATTCAGGTGTTTCCCGAGTACGTTACAGGGCAGTTGTCTGTTACTGGTCGGGACTTAGCCAAATAAGAGGAGAGGTCTTCATTGCCTGCGGCGCAGAAGAATCGTCTTCATCGAGAACCTCGTTGAAGTCAACTCGTTCCAGTAAGACAACACATCAGAGGTTGTTCAATGAAGACATTGTGCCTCCTGACGAAGCAGACGTATATGCTGACTCTCCGATACTGCTGCCTGAAGTACCAGTAAGATGTACTAGAACGACGACGCAGTCTACCTCCACGACGACACGATCGTCCCCAGCAACCATGACAGCTGTTCAGCTGTTTGGCGACCAGCCCCAACAACTGTGACAGCTGTTCAGCTGTTTGACGACCAGAATACTCCACAGTTCTTGAATGCTTCATCTACACAGCATTAGTTCAGGCAACAACATAGAATCATCGACGAGCATAATGCAGTTAGGCGGTTGGGTAGAATACGGTTAAAGCATTGGCTCGTTTCAAAGAACGCTTTGATCTACACAGCCTTAGTTCCATTTCTGGTGTCCCCGCGTGATGTTGCTGGAATATTTGACCCGCGTGACTAAACTGATGCAGTTGATGCAGTTTACAGCGCCAGATGGCGCGAGGATGGAGCAGAGGTTCACCGAAGAGAGAGCTGCATGGCAGAACCCTCACGATGACAAACAACGCTCGACGATACTCAGCCCTGCAAGAACCTGTTCCTGAGACATTCAGCCTCGTCCCACAAGCCTACGGCCGAAGACAACGTCAGCGAACGTACATGTTCGGCAGACCCAGTCGTCTTGGAAGAAGAAGAGGTTGGCTTAATGTCCCTGAGTCTACAAGAGGTTTGGCAACGTCCCTGAGTCTACAAGAGACTGAAGTCCGTCAGCAAACCCACAACAACCAGCAAACCGACAACAAGGCAGACAGATATCAGCAATGCAGACAGCTACAGGGTTCGAAATGAACCCTCAGAGGCACAGGAGGAAGATTCGCGAAGGAACAGATGAAGAAAGTGATGGGATCAGATGGAGTGGTTACATCCGTACAAGATGTACAAGAATGAAGATTTCGACGCTCTCACGATCCCGCTCGCTCATCGAACGGAGTTCACATTGGTTAAGGAAGACATCGTGCCTCCCAGTAGGCGTTCATCTAGATTATAAGACCAACAAAGTCAGACGATTTTCATCTAGATTATAAGACCATGAAGAACGATTACGCGAATCTACATTCACTATTTCCATCGACATCGCGTGCCTGCACAGTTTACAAGAGATCGAACATCTTGACCCTGCAGTTACGACAGCTACCCAGCTGTTTGATGATCAACCACCGCAACGCATTCAATTTGATAAATGTTCTGTCATCAGGGATGAATATTTTTCAAGAATATTTTACGCTTCATTCAGACCGATTATGTCTGACAACCAGTAACAGCGTTAAGGAAGCGTGGGAACCTCATCAGAACATCTATACAAGATGACGACTGCATTGTCTTCAGTGAAGAATAAGAAGTTGAAGAATAGAGACGCAACTGCCAGGGGGACAGTCTACTTACATCAGCACTAAGCGGCAAATAATTTCGCGCGCTTTTACTCAACCAACTACACCTGTGTTCACTCGTGTTATTCAGGGACAAGCTGAATAGCGAGGTTACGGACAAGACCAGTGATGATGAAGGAACCAATGACTGCACAAGATTTCATGATGATCAATTTGCTGCAACACTGGTGAGGTCACATATCTGGAATCTGATTGGTCCATGAGAGACAACGCCCTGCGAAGAAGGCGGTTCACGTACCAGGAAGTCGTCTACAATTGTAAACAACCCTTCCAACGTGGAAAGACTTCATCCACAGTCTAGATAGCAGTGTAAAACATGGTTCCATCATCTTCACGGGATGCATAGAGGTCTTCTTCTGACAGCAGATTAAGCGTTGTTTATCTGGAGGCTTGCAGTAACAAGTGACAGATGGTTTCTTTTCGTGGCAACCAGTCTACTATAAATAGACTTCACATCGATGTCAGCTCGCTTTCAACACAGATCATTGGCGATTTGAAGACGAAGAATGATGCATCATTGCTGCATATCATCGAGATTCCGGTAATAACATCTTCTTTACCGCTGAAGCGTGTACCTGGTTGGAATTACCTCAACCATATAACTGTTTTACATGAGTAATCAGCTGACTGGAGCGCCTCGGCCTCAACAGCAACAAGCGTTGTGCTGTGTTGGATTCTGGAGGAAGAGTTGCAGTGGGCAAGATTTGTTGTCAATCAGAATGGCATCATATTACAGGCAGATCGATGAGTCAAGATTCAAGCCATGATTCCAGAAACAGTCATCTCTCTGTTGTCAGCAGACACGACCGTAGAAATCTCAAAGACGACGATATTATGTTGGATGTGAGCTGACAAAGCAGCAGGACTAGAACCTCCAAGGGCTTCCAACCCACACGAAGTCAGAGCACTGGCGTCAACACTTACTCTGCATGGAAGCTGCTAGATATCAGCTATAATGGAGGGCTGCTTTTGAAAGTCGGACACAGAGTTTGCCAACCTCTATAATGGAGGGCTTTCACCACTTTCTGGCCACTTGTTGTAGCACTACAACTAAGCGGTTCCACAAAGGTGTAGAGTTTTGCCAACCTCTACTCCTTTTGGTTGAGAGTCCACATCGTCCACACACCAGACTAGCAGGACTGATTAAGACTTTCACGGGTAATGATTTTACCACTTCTGGCCACTTGTAGCACTACAACTAACGGTTCCACAAAGGCGCTGAGTTGGGAATCTCACCCTTTATCACATTGACTTGTTCATAACCTTTACTCTGGAAAGTTTTGGTTGAGAGTCCATGCGCTCCGTCTACACCAGACTAGCAGGACTGATTAAGACTCTGTACGGGTAATGATCTTACCTATACGATAAGGGGTCGCAACTCATTTATGGTAACGATCTTATCATAATCTATGAGTTGTTTATAGATAACTAGTAAGAAGAAGATACTAGTATATCTAAAATCCACATAAATCTAAAAAGATTCACTTGTCTTAGAGAAGTATGACAAGATGTGGTCCCCCCTAGTTGACAGCGAAAGTTAGAGGAGGATCCAGGAAGTGCCGGTACACAGTCCCAATGGGGGGAATACAGGACGTATCTAAGAACAGCTGATGAATCCACGAAGTGGCCAACAACCGGGCCGATTCACCAACAATCCATGAGTCAGGATAAGGAAATTCATGGAAGCAAATAAGCATGAGTCAGGATAAGGATCCTGACTCATGATGTCAAGCCCTCCCAGCCTCCCCCGCAGAAGACACTTCGGGTTTCCCAGCAAACCCAGGTGCATGGGCTTATTCAGGAGAGAGTGACAAACATGGCAGGTCACATGACTGTTTGCGCGGGAAAAGGGAGGCAATCGTTGGTGAGAGAACTTTTACGTCCTCTTCAGGGAACTACAAGGGATTCTAAGTGTTCCACTACCATTCGCATGGAAGGAAAAGAAAGCAAATACGCATGATTGAGGATAAGTATAAAATATCAATTTTACTAAAAAAAATTACATTATTCAAGCTCTTTTAACTCGATATGGATGTCTCAATATTTCGGATATCTTGATATAATTTCATCGTCCGAACAAGCAGAATTACCCTTTTAACTCGATATTTGCAAAGAAGCTCGATATTCACCTACCTTTAGCGGAAGTATCCCTCTGAACTGAGGTTGTTTCCACACGTTTACACATGGCGCAGCATTAGTGTTGGGGATTGGTTGAAATCTTACAATTGATTATTGCTTCATTACCAACGAACAATCATCGAAAAAAATTGGTTAGCGTCAATTTTCAGATTTTCCTATCCAGGTTGTAATTACAGATATGTATTACATGATGCAACTTGCTACTTTAAAGTGACGAATCATATATCATGAACATTAACTTCCTGGAGTCTTAGAGAAATATTCAGTCATGACTTTTCAGATAGTGGAGTGAATTAAACACGTTTTCAGGCCCTGACAACTTCTAAGATATGTTCCATTGTCAAGTATTTCAAAGACTAATACAGTAGTTCCAAAATCGTTTACGTTCCATTATGAGAAAATGTGATTGATTGCTTGGTCGTTTGGTCACTGCGACCAATCTTCGATTATTTCAATTAATCGGAACACCACTACGCAGCATGAATCAAAGAGATGCGGTAGTGTAAACTAATTAGGTCTAATTGAGTTGAAGGTGTCACTTGTTTGTTATTTAATTAGGATTAATTAAGAAGGAATTAATTAGGAAGTACTCACTGTTACGACTAAACACTACTAATAACGGATTATAGTTTCGAATCAAAACATACTGAGAAGCGTTTTGTTTTCTGTCATAGTGATATGTGATGACATGCCTGGTCGGATGTATCGAAGTTCGGATAACTCGATGTTTTTTCTTGGTCCCATTAATATCGAGACAACGTTGCTCGACTGTATTTTATGATTCAAACAGAGTTATGTCAAACTTACATGTGTCAAAATGGTTGTCTTGAAGTAAAACCTTGGTCCTTAGGCCCCAAAAAAATAAATGTTGTGGTTCCGATTTCCTACATTTGAGAACTAGGGTAGGTAGGTAGGTAGGTTTTGGGTTTTTGCAAAATATTTTTACATTACTCATGTGTCAGAAAATAAATTTAATATATTATGTGGTGAGTAAAATTGTTAGGCTTGGCGGGAATATTTAGGGTCGGTCGGGAAATCGGAACCACAAGCTTTTTTTTTAGGCCTTATGTATTCCCTCTTTGTTCTCCAACCGCCTCTGTGGTGTAATGGTTAAAGCATCTGCCCAGAGAGTGGAAGGTTGCGGGTTCAATCCCCGGCCGCGTCATACTTTAAGACGTTAAATTGTTTTTCAGAAGTCCTCCTTGGGATACATATAAGCATTTAAATGTCCATTAAGGCAAGCCTACCATATAATATGCAAACATAATATATGAACTTCCAACTACAGGCTAAAAAGCTAACATGTAGAGGGGAAACCACGACCGCTTGGTTCGCCATTTTGCCTGCCACATGGCTGGAAAACAGAAACCCACGGCACAAAAATACAACAAATGATGAATGAAAATATCAATATGTGAAGTCCATCTAACGCCCATGCGTAAAGAGAGGAACCATACACACAGTTTGAGAAACTTTATCACTCATCGTCGAGTATAGGAAGAGATAAGACTCTAAGGACACCACGCATGTGTGTTCTGAGAACGACAGCATGAAAAGTGAGGTACGAGGTAGACAGACAGAGTTACCTGATCTTGGCTGTAGGGGGTCCTGTAGGGGTGGTCTCACAAGACAAAAATAAGTTTTTTGTTTTGTAAATATTTTTATTAAAATATTGTTACAACTGTCGTAGGATTTAAAATGGACATTTAAATGCTTATATGTACCCCAAGGAGGACTTTCTTCAAAGAATCAATAACCTCTACAGGTTTGTACGAATATGGTACTTGTTGGTTCCTGCCTGGCGCTCAGCATTAATGGGTACAACAAGGACTGGTCGGCTTGGAGTCAGCATAATGTGTCTGAGTAGGGTATTCATGCTTAACTGCGGCATGGTATCTCAGTCAGCTAGCACTATAAAGCCAGCTTAAGTCTGGGCCTGTACAAGCAGCCACACATACACACACATGCATGTCGTCATATGAGCGAAATAATCTTAAGTGCGATGCTAATCCCCATTTCACCCCACCTCTTTATTCATCATTTTTTAACCTGTGTTGAATATGATGTGTCTTAAGTTATCTTCCATGTCTGAAACATGTACTTTCACTCTGTAATCTTCAGTCATTATGCATTACAAGCTGGAAATATCCACTGCATTGGGTTCAGTGTTTGGCTCTGAATTATAAAACTAGGGGTCCCAATCACAAATGTTTGGCTCCATTCAGGAAATTTAAGGGTCACGTGAAGTGATGAAAAGTGTAGTGTAATGTACCTTTATTATATTAAATTAAATGAAGAATGATTATTTTTATAGATATACAACTTCTTTTATTCTGTGAAGGGCGACGTTTCGACATAGATTCTAATGTCATTGTCAAGCAAGTGATGACGACATTAGAATCTATGTCGAAACGTCGCCCTTCACAGAATAAAAGAAGTTGTATATCCATAGAAATTGTCATCATTCTTCATCAACTCAGCTTCTAAAATGCCCATCAAAGAAGTCATTAAATTAAATGTAATTATATATAATTTACAGAAACATAGAGTTTCCTGTTGACAAGTTAGTACAGTGAATATTTTTGTTTAAGCCTCAGACCACAATATTTATTTTTTCTGCAACCATTCTGTACTTTGGTGTGTACAGGATGCACATTTCTGTGTCGAGGCACAAGGCCATATCGATCAATCCAACAATATCAATCACTGGTTTTGTTTCAGCTGCTACTTTGTGGACCACGGTGAATCGGAACTCATCCCTTTGTCCTTGTAAGTACAGGGGCAGGGGGGTAACCTAGTGTTAAAGAGTTCGCTCGTCACGCTGAAGACCCGGGTTTGATTCCCCACATGGGCACAATGTGTGAAGCCTATTTCTGGTGTGCCCCACCGTGATATTGCTGGAATATTGCTAAAAACCATACTCTCTCTCTCTCAGGATGCTTAAGTATGAGGAACTGGTTATTTTTATCCCCCGCAACGCGTTTTGCGGGGGGTATTAAAATGGACTCTGTCCGTCCGTCCATCCTTCCGTGCACATGTCTTTTCCGGAGCAGAACTCTAAAACTGTTCAATATTTCTTCACCAAACTTGGCACATACATAGATCTGGTGGTGTACTGGTGCCTTTTGGTAGTTTTGGATTTTTGAATACAATATTTTTGGCGTTTCCATGGCAACAAGTTTGACTTAGACTGAAATTGGTAGTTGTGCTCTTTTCCAGAGCAGAACTCTAAAACTGTTCACTATTTCTTTACCAAACTTGGCACATAAATTGGTCTGGTGGTGTACTGGTGCCTTTTGGTAGTTTCGAATTCTGAATAAAATATTTTTGGCATTTCCATGGCAACAAGTTTGACTTAGACTGAAATTGGTGAACTTTAAAGACCTTTCAATACTATCCTTCCACTTTTCTATATACACACCTAAATATTTGACATAATCATAACTCGTAGACATAATCATGAAGAGTATTTTGCTATTGCGGGGGATATTGATGACTTTGTCTTCTTGTTGTCTGTTACATGTCACTTCATGCTGCTTTTCAGCCTACGACAGTTACCAGGTCAGTTTCAGGAAGAGCCCAGACAGATTCAGACGTTTTCCTTATGGGCTATAGAGCCTCTGACTCTCCTGACCACCATTGAAGATGGGGATATCATAGCTACAAAACGGTAAGTACATTCATTCTTAAACTTAGCACAATCCCAGTAAGATTGTCACTATCCCTCAAGTTCTTCTTGACTTAGAAATTTGTGATTTTAAGATCCTGTTAGTTGCCTCTTACGACAAGTATGAGTTACTGAAGACCAATTCTAACCCGGATCGTAACTGAGATGAGTACAACAGTATAACCCTCAATGGCCTCTAATTTGTAGAAAAGCTGAAGCATTCAGCATGTTTAACACTGGTTTAGAATTACAGTCCTTGAATTCAGCCAGTCAATGAGGACTGCCATCACTTGCATTTTACTTGTCTGACAGAATATAGTAGTGTAGGGCAGGCAAGCAAGAATTAGGAAGGTTGCAATTAGGACAACAACTCTTTTGATTTGTCCTATCTCAGGCAGCCAAATCAGTATAACTGGCACTATTTTCACTTTCACTTGTCAGTAACCTTGGCATGACCTTGGTCAACCTGAAGTCAAAGCTTGTTGGTTGGTGCTATCAAAGTCAGATCAAATTCACGTTCGTTAACTTGATGCTAGCTTAGTACACTGGCACCATCTTGGTAAGATTGGTTCCAACTCACTGGGTTTGGTACCATATTCCCATTTTTCATGGGAATTAGTTCCTGTCAATATTATCACCATGCATATGGTGTGATCCTCTGAATGTTGATTTTTTTCTTTCTTCCAGAAGGTGTAAAAAATGGGACATCTCTGCTGTTGATTTCCTCAAGAAACTTTTGAAAGGTTTGTAGATGTGCAGGACTACAGATAAGAGGCGTACAGGCGTAATGTACGCCTCAAAATCAATTAAGTACGACATAATATAAGATTTCAAGCGTATCGTGTACGCACATAAATACCTTTGTAGCCTAACATTTAATTTCCGTGCGCATCGTGCAAATGGAAATCTATTTCGGATAAATACTTGTCAAGTTTCTTTTGCGAAACACGATTTGACACATGAGGAAACCCCGACAGTAGGAATCCCTTGCGTTGCAATGCAACGATATGCGTCACTATTTTTCGATTGGCTAAAAAACTACACTGTTCCTATTTATATCCAGTCGTTCCTGACATTTCTCGCATCACACGGTCGCTCAATTATTTCTCACTCGTCTTCAAATACAATACATGGTTGGAAATAGTGATCGATGAATCGTCCAGACAAACCACATCACCAACTCACTCAAACAAAAACATGTCAGTACTCCTTCAAAATTCACAGTACACCTCCACTTGCAATATGATGTGTAAGTACACTCACACCCCCAAAAGTTATCTGGAGCCCTGGAGGTGTATAGAATATTATGCAAGATGTGTGGTTGAAACTTCTCGAAAGATAAGTGAGAGCTGGTAGCACTATAATTCACTGTGCCATATTGTGTCAATATGTGCACCAGAAATAATGGATGTGATTTTTAATCCCAGTTTCTATGTTTCTTGCCTTGTCACTCACTCACTCACTCCACTCCACTCCACTCCACTCCACTCCACTCCACTCCACTCCACTCCACTCCCTCCACTCCACTCCACTCCACTCCACTCCACTCACTCACTCAAAGGAACACAAAGGATCTGTTTCAGTGCCTTTAGAAAGTTTGTGGACAATGAATATTGCATGAATTTCTCTTAAATGACGAGCAGAAATAAATACCTGAATGATGATTAATTGTGCAGATTCGTCGAGCCCCAAGATTGACATCCAGCACCAGGACCGAGAGAGGAACATAGTGTATGTGAAGCTGTATCTCAACACTCCAGATGGCCTGGTCTGTGTGAATGACCAGCTTGTAGATCTCGAGTATGCCGCAAGGATCGTTCCCCAAGTCCAGCAGCCAGATCACGGTAAGTTGTCGTGTTGTTTACTGACACTCTCCAGTGTTTGCCCTTGGTATGAAAATTTAGGAGTCATCATGACTCCCTAGTGTCATGAGAGTGAGTCATGGGCATGTTTTTGGGAGTCAACTTCAGTTTGGAACTTTCATCAAGACATCAGCTGTGATTGTTTAATAACGACAAAAAACAAGGTAAGGCAGGTCAGGTATTTAATCAGCACTGAGCGGTTAACTGGCAAACATTAGTTTTCAAATTCACTGTGTATTTGAGATAATTTGTGCATCAAATACGCAGGTTTTCTGCGTCATGGCAATCAGTAAGTCTCTTCAGAAGTCCAACAAAATGACAGCACTCAAACAATCAAATCTTGACCCAACAGTGAGTGAAGAGTCATGGCAATGGGGCCTGTTGACATGCCACCAGACCTTGGCAACCCAATCCATAAAGTCACCTCGTACGACAAGCATGAGTTGATAGACAGTGCTGTCCCATTTGCATTAGCATAAGTGAAATAAGGAGTGATTGCTGTATACCATCTCCCCATAAATGTCATGGTCTGTGGTAAGGGTATACATTAGTTCATGGCGACACTTTGTATAAAGTATATTAGGTCACAGGATATTCTATATTTCACTCGTAGTCTTTTTTTGTCAAAGATGATTGTCTCTTGCTATGGAAACAGTGAAATGCAGAAGAAACTAGTTGGACTTCTAAACATGCCATGTGATTAGTTTTAAGGGAGGTGATTGATTGTGTGAAATGATGTCATTTCAGATGCTCTTGAGGAAGTTGTCAAACCAAGAAAACCGAAAAAGAAATTGTTGCCAGAAGATTATCTCCGTATGATAGAAGACGATAATGGCTTTAATCACCGAAACACTGATTCAGACGGAAGTCACCAAACTCAAAGTGATCCACAAGTCCGACATAAGGTGTACAGGACGACAGTATATGACAGAGACGCAAGTCGTGAGTGTGAAAGTGATGTTCCAGTAAGACACAGGGGAGGCAGGTTGGATATGTTCATGTCCGACACCGAGCCCCACCATAGTGCAAGGTCAGTGAAGGTCAGTCAGAGTGACACGGAACTACCGAGGGGATTGGTGAACAGTATGAGCAGACCACACTCAGGGGGGCCGGGGAAGTGGTTGGAGGGAGGGGACGTAGGGGTTGGAGACATTAGTTCAAATAATCTGATGATTGGTGGTGCTTCCTGTGGATCTGATGGACTCGATGTGGTGTCGACAGGGGGCAAATCAGGAGATGGAAATTCCGCATCTTCTTTCAGAAAGAATCTGAAGGGTAATCAATCCAAACATTATGAGGATGCACTTTCTGATACCGGTCAACCCAAGAAGATTGTGTTAGGAAGAGGGTATTCTTTCCTCAGCACATCATCAGATTCAGACAGTCCTGCCCTGAGAATGTGTGATGCTAAGAGTTCTGTTTCTAGTCAAAATAGACCGTCTGGTGCCTCCATGCATGATGGGATGCCAGTTCTTGAACCTCAGAGTGGAGGCTCGGACACTAACTCTCTTGCCAATGTTATGGGACTGAAACCCGTCAGAAGTTGTCCAAGCTCTCAAAGTCTAGCCAGTGACAATCAAAGAGATGGTAAATCTACAGAGGCCTCGCAAAAAGAAAAGTTTTGTGAAATATTTGTTCCATCCCGCCTTCCCAAATGTGCAATGGTCTCTTCACAGTCGTGTTCCTCCAAATCAGATTCACCTGAGATGAAACTTGGGTAAGTTAATGGAACTCAGTGATGTGCTCAGTAATTGTGTGATTGCGTTTTCCAGACATGAGTTCTTTACTGCCTTGCTGTGCATCTCAGTTTCCATGGTTACTGTGTATTTCATGATCAAATAATTTAGTCCTCATGGAAATTTATTTTGAATGCTTTTGCTTTTTTGCTTAAGGTCAATCTTGAAGAAGTCTCCCTCCCAGTCTATGTCAAGCCTAGAAGTCAACTCTGTCAGGTATCTGTGTGATGTTGATGCTGTGTGCACATCATATGTCTTGGAACTATGGATCTGTGCTCATACTGTCAACCACTAGTTTGCTAGCTTCAGACTAGAGACATGGCCTGGCTAATAGGCTATAACTGATTTATTCCGCCTGCTCATCCAATATTTGGTTCTAAGTCTGCAGCAAACAATATCCCAATTTATATCAAAATTTTCCCAATTTTTCAATATTTATGAAGGGAAAATATTATAATGATCAAATATCGAATGATATTTTCTTCCAAGGTGTTTGCTAAAGGCACATAGTTTGGAATCCCAGATGAATTTCTGACATGTCTGACGTTTGGCCACAGACACATATATGAGGTGGGATGGGCTGTTACTAAGTGGGCAGGGGCTATGGTTTAAGCTTGGGGTTATTCTTTATTCATAGTTACATAATACCAGAAAAGTGATTAAGATCTAACAAACCACCTTGAACAATTTGAATTTGTTTACTAGTCTTCTTGCTGTCATACCCTGTAGGGGTTCAGGCTAGAATACTTGCTCAGCAGCATTAGCAGGTTTGAACAGATGGAGTGGGTAGTGTGGCTGGGTGGTGGTGGTGGGTGATGGTTGTGGTGGTGGTGGGTGATTGTGGCTGTGGGTGGTTGTCGTGGGTGATTGTGGCTGTGGGTTGTGGTTGTGGTGGGTGATGGTTGTGGTGGGTGATGGTTGTGGTGGTGGGTGATGGTGGTGGTGGGTAATGGTGATAGTGGTGGTGGTGATGGTGGTGGTGGGTAATGGTGATAGTGGTGGTGGGTGATGGTGGTTGTTGTGGTGGTGGGTGATGGTGGTGATTGTGGTGGTGGGTGATGGTGGTGATTGTGGCTGTGGGTGATGGTGGTGGGTGATTGTGGGTGGTGGTGGTGGGTGATTGTGGTGGTGGTGGTGGTGATGGTGGTGGTGGGGTGATTGTGGCTGTGGGTGGTGGGTGGTGGTGGTGATGGTGGTGGTGGTGGGTGATGGTTGTGATTGTGGGTAATGGTGGTGGTGGGTGATGGTGGTGGTGGTGGTGGGTGGTAATGGTGGGTGGGGGGTAGTGGTGGTGGTGGTGGTGGTGGGTGTGGTGTGGTGGTGGTGGGTGGTGGTGGTAATGGTGGTGGTGGTGGTGGTGGTGGGGGGGTAGTGGGGGAGTGGTGGTGATGGTGGTGGTGGGTGGTAATGGTGATGGTGGTGGTGGGTGGTAATGGTGGTGGTGGGTGGTGACATTGTCCCTGGACAGCATGGATCACAATATCAAGCACTGCATATGTTCATTCCACACTTACTATCTATTGGTGGAGTCCCACAGAGTGGGGTGTTATATTTACACCAGTGATGTGTCGTATATCCCTGCATCATCATTATGATTGTTTCTCACTCACAGTCACTCACTCACTCACAGATATGTTTCTGTTCTTGTTCCTGTAGTCTGTTCCTCCTGTTTTAGATTCTCAGGAACGGAAGAATGGGTTCGAAAAAAAGGCAAAGAAGAGGGTAGAAAGTAAGTCATCAATGTATTGAATACCACGGAAACTCTACTGGTGGACACTTTAAGATCTTTGAAGTTTTCCAGGGATTCGTTATCAACATATGATTTGTGCCAGTTCTTCTTAAGGAGTGATGATTGGTTGGTTGGTTGTCATTAAACGCCGCACTAAGCAGTAATCCAGCTATATATGGTGGTGGTCTGTAAATAATCGAGTCTGGACCAGACAATCCAATGATCAACAGCATGAGCGTCGATCTACACAATTGGGATATGATGACATGTGTCAACCAAGTCAGAGGGTCTTGACAACCAAATCGCGTTTGTCGCCTCTTACAAGGAGTGATGAGCCTGATGATAACCAAATATGCAGTTGTAATTTTGGAACATTGTGAACTTCGTATTCTTTGACTAATGATACCCTTTCATTTTCTGCAGGTTTTTTTTGGTTTTGTGTAAGATCTATTTTAATACACTTTGGTTGGATGTGGTGAAAGCATGCAGAAGCTGCTCATGCCACATTTACATATTCAGTTACAGCGTTTGCCCGTCACGCTGAGGATCTGGGTTCAATTCCCCTCATGGGTACAGTGTGTGAAGCCCATTTCTGGTGTCCCCTCCATGATATTGCTGGAATATTGCCAAAAGCGGCGTAAAACTAAACTCACTCACTATTCAGCTAGGGCTACTCCTAAGGGAGATGAGAATGTAGATTGAATGTACACACCTCAGTCAATGGGGTAATAATAAAGCTCTCTGAAGGAATTATTATCGTTACTTAATATCATCGTTGTGGATATGACGTACCTTGTCTTTCTGTGTATATTTGTGATGAGATGTTGCCATGGTTACAGACTGCTGGCGAGCCTGTCTCCGGGTACAGACCTGAGGAATCACCACACAACTGCAATACCTCAGGTAATATGAATAATACCTCAGGTAATATGAAGCTGAATCTAAGTGTGATAGAATTTGATCCAATTAAAACTGCTTGTCATGGCACCTGTACAAGATATAACTTATTCTTTGGTTTGATATTTCAAATAGGGGTGATGGGTAGCCTGGTGGTTAAAGCGTTCATCATCCCGAAGACCTGGGTTTGATTCCCCACATGGGTACAATGTGTGAAGCCCATTTCTGGTGGCCCCAGCCGTGATATTTCTGGAATATTACTGAAAGCGACATGAAACTAAACTCACTGATATTTCAAATACTTTACCTCTTCCCTCTGTCTTGTACACAGTTAAATATACAGTGTCATCATGGATGATTTATAAAGAATTCTGTTGATTTTGTATGAGGAAACAGCTCCTTACCTTCCTTGTGTTTTTCAGATGAGTCGTCCAGATCGAGCCGAACACACACCATTCCTGGGAGTGGTCTATCATGGGGTGTCACAACCCAGCCCAATACTGGACTTCACTAACCTGCCATTTGCTGAACTCGTTAAACAGGTCAGTGGTGTTTCCTTGTCATAAGGGTTGTGTTTGTATCCTTTTGTTGGTAGAGTTTGTTTCCTTATGAGGGTGATGTGTGTTTCCTTAACTTGAGGGTAGGGATTGTTTCCTTATGTTGAGAGTAGGGTTTGTTTCCTTATCTAGAGAGAGGGGTTTGTTTCGTTATCTTGAGGGTAGGGTTTGTTTCCTTTTGAGGGTGATGCTTGTTTCTTTGTCTTGAGGGTAGGCCTTGTTTCCTTATCTGGAGAGTAGGGTTTGTTTCCTTGTCTTGAGGGTAGGGTTTGTTTCCTTATCTAGAAACTAAGGTTTGTTTCCTTATCTGGAGAGTAGGGTTTGTTTCCTGATCTTGAGTGTAGGGATTGTTTCCTTATCTAGAAACTAGGGTTTGTTTCCTTGTCCTGAGGGTAGGGTTTGTTTCCTTCTCTTGAGAGTAGGGTTTGTTTCTTTATCATGAGGGTAGGGTTTGTTTCCTTATCTTGAGAGTAGGGTTTTCTTATCTTGAGCCGCCATATTGCTGGGATATTGCTGAGTGCTGCGTAAAACTAAACTCATCTTATCTTGAGAGTATTGTTTGTTTTCTATGAGGGTGATGTTTGTTTCCTTGTCCTGAGGGTAAGGTTTGTTTCCTTATCTTGAGAGTAGGGTTTGTTTCTTTATCATGAGGGTAGGGTTTGTTTCCTTATCTTGAGAGTAGGGTTTTCTTATCTTGAGCTGCCATATTGCTGGAATATTGCTGAGTGCTGCGTAAAACTAAACTCATCTTATCTTGAGAGTATTGTTTGTTTTCTATGAGGGTGATGTTTGTTTCCTTTTCTTGAGGGTAGGTTTTGTTTCCTTATCTTGAGAGTATTGTTTGTTTCTTATGAGGGTGATGTTTGTTTACTTATGTTGAGAGTAAGGTTTATTTCCTCATAAGTGTCCATGTTTCTACTTGGTAAAGGTGTTGTTGTTGCCTCTCCTTTTCAGGCATTCCTGAAGAAGGAATTCAACAGCCCCATGACGATTCAGGCATACTGTTGGCCTGCTGTGCGCCGAGGTCGTCACGTGATTGGCATATCACCACCGGGGACAGGGAAAACATTGGCATACTTGTTGCCGTTGTTGTCGCAGCTGTTTGATTCTGCCCCCTACATGCAGATACCTGTTGGAAATGGAGTAGGTACCTCCCTGTGGGGATTCCTGGATAAATGGCATTACGACAGTTGAAGCACGGACTGGAATGGGGATCTCTTAGTTGTGTGGTTTTGCTTGTAATTGCAGCCTGATGTTGATCCTATTCATCGATAGGTTCCTCAGGTCCATATGTTCCAAATCACCATGGGGGCGGTGGGGTAGTCTAGTGGTTAAAGCGTTGGCTCGTCACGCCGAAGACCCGGGTTCGAATCCCCACATGGGTACAATGAGTGAAGCCCATTTGTGGTGTCCCCCGCTGTGATATTGCTGGAATATTGCTAAAAGCGGCGTAAAACCAAACTCAGTCAGTCAGTCCAAATCATCATGCACTACATGTAGTGTTACACCCGTGAAGATCCGGGTTAGAATTTGTCTTCAGCAAATCATACTTGTTGTAAGAGGCAACTAAACGTAATCGGGTGGTCAGGTTCGCTGACATGGTTGACACATGTCATGCCAACTTTATAGATCGATGCTCATGCTGTTGATCACAAGGTTGTCTGGTCCAGACTCGACTATTTATAGACCGCCGCCATATAGCTGGACTATTGCTGATGGTGGTGTTTAACAACAAACAAATGTAGCATTAGTTTCTATTCATGCATGTATACTGGGTTCCATTTGTCCTCAAACAGTCCTGCCTTCATAGTGGGCTGTGTGGAAGCTCTTTGCGAGAGTGACTCAGCTAATCTCTTCTCTTTCCCTGATGGGGCGGTGGGGTAGCCTAATGGTTAAAGCGTTGGCTCGTCATGCCGAAGACCCGGGTTCGAATCCCCACATGGGCACAATGTGTGAAGCCCATTTCTGGTGTCCCCCGCCGTGATGTTGCTGGAATATTGCTAAAAGCGGCGTAAAACCAAACTCAGTCAGTCAGTCAGTCCTTCCCTGATACTTGCTGACTGACAACTCATCCCATGTCTGTACGGCCTTGTTGCAGCCCTTTGCCCTGATTCTCGTCCCGTCATGGAAGAAGGCCCAGAACGTGTTTGATGCTTGCACCAACTACATACAAGAACGGTCGAAACCAAGAGTTATTTCTATTTATGCTGGTGGATGCGAGGAGTCAAAAGTGGTTTGTAATGACTCTGAATACAGATTAAAGGGCAAGTGTACACGAAAATTAACCTTTTTGTCTCGCACTTTTTCATCATAAAAAGTGTTTATCAAGTAATTTTATATCCAAACCCGTACATATATCAGAAGTAACTAATGTATTTGTTGCGTTATATCAATTAATATTTTCAACATTTACCGAGAGTTCTATGTCCACAATAAACACACCATGACTTATGTCCCTTGGAAATGACGTCATTGGTGCCCAAACGATAAACGAATGACGTTGTTAGACCTTATTAGACCCATTTCACGTGGTGCAGGTATAGGTGTGGTTTTTGTGTCTCGGCTACTGTTTTAATCCAGCTGTTGCCTGACTGTCAGCTGGCTATGTGGTCAGTTCCACACTGTGATGACGTTGCAGTTTGAAAAAACGCATACATTGTACTAAAAGTGTTACCACGTAACCAAATTGTATAACATATTCAACCTGAGTCTGTCGCCTTTCCAACAGTATCTTTTTTCACAAAAACTAAAACGTATAGATCTGTGCATATCCAGCTTGCCATCGATAAATGTGTCGGCATTCTACGTTTGTTACTAAAATTCCCACATAAATCGTACGATATATCCCTCCTCTTCCACCTTCACTTTGATATCGAAAGTACATATCCAAATACATCACGCAGATAAATGCAATTTGCAGTTTTGAACTCTGTTTGAAATTCGTTTTTCTATGATATCATCCGCTCATTGCAGATCAAATATACTGAAAAATTACATGCATCGTAAATCTCGCCAGTTTTGACACATTACTAAATCACCATTCACTGCGTTTTGCGTAATTTATAGTATGTCTTAATTCAAATGTTAAATTTTACTGGGAGAATTGAATTTAAAAGAAAAAGACGTATCATTGTGATCAACGGTAGTTTTGTTGTTGTATAATCGAATCACCAATGCACGTTCTGAAACATTGTCGATGAACCCGAGAATCGCTGAGAATGTTTTGGAAAATACGCAAACAAACTTAACGTCAAAATGAATTTTCAGCCATATTACAGAGTGTTTATAAAATCATGTCACATGTATGTCGGTTATGTTTCGTTCATAAAATCAATTGTATAATTCAACACCATCTTCCTTGCATGAATCCGCTGAATTCCTCATACAGTTAAAAAATAAACTGACAAATGGACTCTGTCACCAATACGAAGTGTTTCATTGAAATCGAACGAAATATATCAGATGCCGGGCTGGGAAAGGACCACTTGTTTGAAATGTAAACAAAGCCAATTTCAGATTTTACACTGTGTATCCGTTCGCCTACTTGTTGCATAAACTTGCTCATTAGTTTTAGAACATGCATGGGAAGGTATCGTAGCAAGCGATAGTTAAATAAAATAGGTGTATTCCATTGAGTTTTGATGGATTCCTTCAAACCAGAGGATGTACAAATAGCCAGATCAAGAGTGAGTCAGTGCACGGAGGCAATTAGTTCATGGATGATGACAAATGAGCTGAAGCTCAATGATGATAAGACTGAGGCTATATTGATTGGCACATCGCAACATCTGAAAAGGATAAACTCTACGGACATCACAGTAGACAACTCAGATATCCCACTTTCATCCAGTGTAAAGAACCTAGGTGTTTATCTTGATCCTTGTCTCACCATGGAGCAACATGTGAACCATCTCTGTAGAGTAGGCTACTTCCATCTCCACTCTATTGGTAACATCCGCCATCTTGTAACCACAGATGGTGCTAAAGTTCTCAGTCAATTGTTCTCTCCAGGATTGACTACTGCAATAGCCTACTGTTTGGAATCTCTAATGATCTTCTCTTCAGACTTCAAAAACTTCAAAATGCTGCCACCAGAGTTGTCACTAAAACATCCAAATGGTCTCACATAACCCCAATCCTCCAGAGTCTGCATTGGCTGCCGGTTGAAGCCAGAAGTCATTTCAAGATCCTCACTCGTTTTCCGCTGCAGAAATGGCCTAGCTCCTCCATACCTCTCTGAGATGTTGTCAACATACAGTACAACCAGAAATTATTGAGAATTTAAAGATTGTAAAATTTTTATTTTTTTCACTCATTACTCACGTATTAAATGTGAATATTAGCAGAACATAACTCCATATTCAAAGACAGGTGAACAGTTAGTATTTTGTCAAGTCACCATGGGCAGCAATGCAGGCTTCAATGCAGCAGGGCATACTACTGATCAAAGAAGTTAGAAAGTCGTGGTCCATTCTGTCCCAATATCGACCACCTCTTCTTTCATTTCAGCAATATTTGTCAGATTTTTCTTATTGACACTTTCCTTCATAAGTCCCCAAACATTTTCTATTGGATTAGGTCAGGGCTATAGCTTGGCCAATCTGATAATGTCACATTTTGGGTCCTAAACCAGGCCTGTGAATGCTTTGAATGATGTTTTGGGTTGTTGTCCTGCTGGAAAATCCAAACATTTCCATAGAACACGTGAGCAGATGGAAGTAAATGTACCTTGAGAATATCTTTGTACCGCTTCACTGTTCATATTCCCTTCAAATACACAGAGGGGCGTTGCCCATAACACAGATATGCCACCCCACACATTAAATTTCGGACTGTACTTTGGGCGCTGATACAAAGGTGTTTCAGTTTGTTTGGTCCAGAATTTCAGTGTATTAGGAAACAGCCACACAGAACTTTCATCTGAGAAAATCACCTTGTCCCAGTTAAAATTTCTATGCTGTAAGCACCAGTTCAACCTTCGCTCTTTTTTGTTCAGGTTTCATGATCGGTGATGGAATTCCTCGACTTTTCTGCCAACCCATTGCATGCAGCTCAGTTCTAATTGTCTTCTTACAGACAGCCACAGTTCCTCAATCAATCATATCCAGCCTTAAGTTTTCTAAACTCCTTCGTTTGTTTTTAGAAACAAGAATACCAAGCCGCCTCCTGTCACCAACAGTCAATTTTCTGGGCCTACCTGCGCCTCCCAATGCCAAGATCTTATCCATTTGCAATATTTTTCAAAACACGATAAACAGTGGACAAAGGGATGCCTGTTCTACTTGAAATCACTTTAGCTGATCTGATGTCCTTGTTATAATACTCTAAAATCAACCTCCTCTTCTCTAAATCATCCATACTGAGGATCACTAAAAATGTCGTCTGCTAGCAAGTAAACAAAGGGGGATAACTCTTCACAAACTAATGAAAAAGGATTAACGGAGTTGTCTCTCTTGAATGAAACCAAGCACTTGATAGCTGGTCAAGGTTGTTTATACTAGAAATCCAATTAAACATATTCCTAAAATTCTCAATAATTTCTGGTCATACTATATATGCCTGCCCGTTCTCTCCGCTTCCCAGAATCAAGATCTTCTCTCAGTTCCCCAAACACTTTGGCCATAGGTCATTCAAATTTGCAGCACCAACCCTGTGGAACAGTCTAAAAAATGCTGCATCCTTAGAAGCATTCAAATCGGGACTCAAAACCTTCCTCTTCTAAAAAGAGTCTACAACCTACAACTGTGAAATATTCTCATGGTCATTTTGACGAACTGTCATATCTTCCTCATCAACTCTAGTGACTCTTTTTGTATGTAGAGCTTTCAGCATGCTCTGGATGGACTATGGCGCACAAGAAATATCCATTTATTATTATTATTATGACGCATGCACAAAGATGATGGTACTTCTCTTAATATCTGACTATCTACTTACATGTCACATTTATGCATATACGTTGCTTGAAACAACGAAAATTTCCTTCGAAAACTCTGGCGTACTCGTGTCAGTGAACACGCCATTTTGTCAACATTGTTATACATATTTGGTATTTTCATTGAGGTGAGGTTGTGAATGAAAATACACATGATCAATCTGTCCTGCTGCTTACATTTTCTGTTCTTGTGCTTCTTTCGTATTTTCACAAACTTTTTTTCACGTGATTAATTTCGGTATTATTATCTTTTGATTTGGGACTAGACAGGAGACCAGTTTAAAATCAAGTGGCACCAATTAGGTCATACTCAAAGGGCGGTAACTCTGGCCTGTTTAGTTCGGCAAACAAAGGCCTCATATTGGCATAACATTTCAGCACTTATTTTGAGGGTTATACTTACATTGTAAGAAAAATGAGTGCATATTTTCAAACATTGGTATTAACTAATTAAAACAGTTCACTTTGATTCACATAAGAAGAAAATGTGATTTATTCGTGTACACTTCCCCTTTAAGCAAAGATATATCAAGGTATAGATAATGAAGGCAATCGGTATAATGTCCTGCCATTATTAGGGATGGACACTGCCACTAGCGTAACACACTCTGCCTAGTGACCATGACTAATAGTGTTACACCAGTCTGTTATTCTGAGACTAGTCGGGGCAGTGGTGTAATCTTGTGGTTAAAGCTTTCGCTTGTCACGCCAAAGACCCGGGCTCAATTCCCACATGGGCACAATGTGGAGCCCATTTCTGGTGTCCCCTGCCATGATATTGCTGGAATATTGCTAAAAGCGGTTATAAACTAAACTCACTCACTCTGAGACAAGTGAAAATCAAGAAGACTAGTTGTTTTCCGCCAAGATTATATCATATTTACACAACCAACTCATCTCATAATAGCAGCAAACTAGTTGGATATGACCAATGGTGTCTTCCTCTGAGGTTATTCGTGTTGTTTGCCTTTGATTGCTATTGTGATTGATAAAACTAATTCAATTGCAGATCCCTCTGATAAATGGCTGCGAAGTCCTTGTCGCCACGCCACCTTGTCTTCAACGTATGATGGAAAAGAAGTACACAAACCTCAACCGTCTCTGCCATCTTGTAAGTTTGCCTTGATGCTTTGTTGACAGAGGTCCTGTAACGTGAGTGAGTGAGTATAGTTTTACGCCACACTCAGCAACATTCCAGCTATATGGCGGCGGTCTGTAAATAATCAAGTCTGGACCAGACAATCCAGTGATCAACAGCATGAGCATCGATCTGCGCAATTGGGAACCGATGACATGTGTCAACCAAGTAAGCGAGTCTGACGGTAGCAATGATCTCAGCCTGAGGTTCAGGATCAGGTACCCGTGAAGATCCGAGCTAGAATTGATCTTCAGTAACCCATGCTTGTCGTAAAAGGTGACTAACGGGATCGGGTGGTCAGGCTCGCTGACTTGGTTGACACATGTCATCGGTTCCCAGTTGTGTAGATTGATGCTCATGCTGTTGATCAGTGGATTGTCTGGTCCAGACTCGATTATTTACAGACCGCCGCCATATAGCTGTAATATTGGTGTGTGGCGTAAAACTTAACTCACTCAGGTTCAGGTCAACCGTAAATACTGCAAAAAAATCCCACACTGAAAATTTGTATTACCAATTACTTTGCGTTTCATGAGGTCAACTGTAATACCTGAGGTCAACTGTAATACCTGAGGACTGAGGAAACTTACGACTTTTAATAAATTGGAATAATTACAACTTTTTACAGGAAATCATGCCTCCTCCTAAGTTTTCTAACACATGTTTGAAAATCTTAGATAAATCCCAGTATGACTCAACCAAGGACTGAAGATGACATGTTTTGACAAAATATATCCTGTTGGATATCACCAAACTCAAACAATCTACACTTGTCATGCATGTTAAACAGCTATGATGCAAGGTACTGTCACCCAACAACTCTAAACATGTGAATATTTTGGTTTCAGGTTCTAGATGATGCAGAGATACTCACTGAAGTGTTCAAGTCTGAGGTGAGGTTAATTCTCCCTTCCATTTACTTACTTGCATTCAATCTAAATTTGTATTTTCATGACATTTTTGCTATGGTCTCCTGTTTTTTGTGTTATTACTTCTGAAGGACCATGTGTTTTGGGGTAGAAATAGGTCCAGTAATCTAACAAAATGATGGCAACATGGTTGTATGTCAGCACAAGCTAATTATACCAATCAATCACTCATTCACTCATCAGGGGTGGTGGCGTAGCCTAGTGGTTAAAGCATTCGCTCGTCATGACAAAGACCCAGGTTCGATTCCCCACATGGGTACAATGTGTGAAGCCCATTTCTGGCGTCCCCTGCCGTGATGTGGAATATTTCTAAAAGCGGGTTAAAACCATACTCACTCACTCATTCAGATGAGTATCTGTTGACCCGTGAAGATGTGGGTTAGAAATTGTCTTCAGCAGTCCATGCTTGTCGTAAGAGGTGACCAGTATTGTCTTCAACATAATAAAGCTGCTTTTAGCATGGTTCAAAATATGTTTTTGTACAATGAGTTAAGCAGCCTTTCAGACCAGCCGATATCCACATGAGTGTTGAGGAGCTATCCAGACTCCAGACTCGATTATTTACAGACCGCCGCCATATGGCTGGAATATTGCTGAGTGCGGCGTACAACTAAACTCACTCACTCACTCACTATGTTTTCGAATATACATTACAGATTTTGTGTGTTTGGCATATGTATTAATCTGAAATGACACTATGATCATTTTCACAGGTGAAGTATATCATGAAATCGTATGCTGATGTCATCCGAGAATCCAACTTGAAACGAGATGTTCCACGACAGAGAATGGTGTTCGCGAGTCAGTGGACCAAGGGAATTGACTCCTATGTTGCCTCGTACATCCATGAACCTCTGCTGATCATCACATCCAAGATGGAGGCAGCTGTGTATGGACGAGTCAAGCAGGTAAGTGGTACAATAACTGGAGGAAGTTTCTTATTGCTCGGGTTTTTGCTGATGATTAGGGATAATTTTGATCATCAGAAGTGTTAGATTTTGAATTAACAGAAAACTTAGAAATAGTTACCTGAACTTTGAAAGTTATGCCCAGTTAGGAAAATCTTTTCATACAAAGTTTACACAATATACTGCTTTACATGGATATAAGGCCTTTTGCCTGTGCCGTGACATAAACTAATCAATAATTTCTCTCTTCATTTGGAACCCCCTGAGAAATGCAGAACCATTGTTTTAGAATCATTTGGATTCGTTAATCTTCTTCTGTAGAAATTGGAAAAACGTTGTATGGGCATCCTTTGTTCAGCTTTGAATGGCGGCTCTCACTCCTGATTGTTAAAGAACAGGTAAGACATGTTATGGGCTATTGAAAATTGTCCTTTGTATGTTTAATAACTTTAGAAGTTTTGTTTACTTACAGATTGTGCACATGTGCAAATATGAAAACAGATCGTACCAGCTGCGTAGCATCTTAGAAGGTATTGGCTCACCTGGCAACAAGATAATCCTTTGTTCATCATTAGTTGAAGAAGTGGAGATGCTGTATGAGGTATGTTGGTAGCTTGATGTGGGCATGTTATAACAGTGTATGTTGATGGCTTGATGACACATGTTATAACAGTGTATGTTGATGGCTTGATGACATTATAACAGCGATGTTGATGGCTTGATGACATGCTATAACAAAAGTTGACGGTTTGATGACAGACATGTTATATCAATACATGTTGATGGCAGACATGTTATAACAATACATGTTGATGACAGACATGTTATAACAATACATGTTATGACAATACATGTTGATTGCTTGATGACAGACATGTTATAACAAGACGTTGATGACAGACATGTTATATCAACACATGTTGATGGCATGATGACAGACATGTTATAACAACACATGTTGATTCAGACATGGTATAACAGCATCTGTTGATGGCTTGGTGACAGACATGTTATAACATCATTTAACGATGCAGGACTTGTTATAACATGTTGATACCTTGATGCGGGACATGGTGTGATGACACATGTTGATGACAGATATGTTATAACACCATCTTTATGGCTTGATGATGAACATGTGATATGTTGATGGCTTGATGACAGACATGTTATAACATCTTTATGGCTTGATGTCGAACGTGTGATATGTTGATGGCTTGATGACAGACATGTTATAACAACATCTTTATGGCTTGATGACGAACGTGTGATATGTTGATGGCTTGATGACAGACATGTTATAACAACATCTTTATGGCTTGATGACGAACGTGTGATATGTTGATGGCTTGATGACAGACATGTTATAACAACATCTTTGTGGCTTGATGATGAACATGTGATATGTTGATGACAGACATGTTATAAGAACACATGTTGATGGCTTGATGACAGACATGGTATAACATCATTTGTTGACAGACATGTTATAACAGAATTTGACGATACGTGACTTGTTATAACATGTTGAAACCTTGATGCGGGACATGGTGTGATGACACATGTTGATGACAGACATGTTATAAGAACATCTTTATGGCTTGATGACGAACATGTTATACAGGCATATGTTGATGACAGACATGTTATAAGGACACTTCAATCAAGAAATGTGTCCAACATGAATATTTGAAAACATGATGGATTTTAAGATGAGTGAGGTGACTGGAATTTCACAACCAGCATCAAATAATATCATGGCCAACAAGAACGACTTGCCTATATTGTGTCCTTGTGTCATTAAGCATCCCAGCTCAAACTGAGGTGGAGTTTGAATCACATTGAGCCTTATTTATGCTAGTCTCTTCAGAACGAACACCAAATGCACAAGAGAATTTAGTGGTTCTTCAGGATTTCTTCAATATGTGGACGACTCAGGAAGATCTAGATAGAATTGGTATTCAGCAACTCATGCATATTGTAAGAGACGAGTAACGGGATCAGGTGGTCAGTCTCGCTGACTTGGTTGACATATGACATTGTATCCCAATTGCGTAGATCGATGCTCATGATGCTGATCACCTGATTGTATGGACCGTTGTTGCTGAGTGCGGCATTAAACAACAAAGCAACCAACAGTATGTGTTGACGGCTATTGGTATCAGCATGTGGTGAGGAGCTAAGGAAAGAATTAATGAAGAGAGATAGAATTTGTTGTTTTGATATATGGTTAACGTAGATGTGGCTGTTTGTGTCTTGTGTAGATGTTGACCGCCCAGAGCATGCACACCTTGGTCTGTCATGACGACATGACACTCTCGGACCGTGACGAAATGTACCGGCAGTGGCACAACCTCAACTCACAGGATGCTGCACTCATCATGGGTAAGCTGACCACACCTTCACAGGGGAGGCATGTCATGTTGCACACCTTCACAGGGCAAGGAAATATATCATGATTGCACACCTTCCGAGGGGAAACATGTCATGTTGCACACCTTCACAGGGCAAGGAAGTATATCACGATCGCACACCTTCCAAGGGGAAACATGTCATGTTGCACACCTACACAGGGCAAGGAAGTATATCATGATTGCACACCTTCCAAGGGGAAACATGTCATGTTGCACACCTTCACAGGGCAAGGAAGTATATCATGATCGCAAACCTTCCAAGGGGAAACATGTCATGATTACACACCTTCAGAGGGCTAGGAAACATGTCATGATTGCACACCTTCACAGGGGAAGCATGCCATGTTGCACACCTTCACAGGGCAAGGAAGTATATCATGATCGCACACCTTCCAAGGGGAAACATGTCATGTTGCACACCTACACAGGGCAAGGAAGTATATCATGATTGCAAACCTTCCAAGGGGAAACATGTCATGATTACACACCTTCGGAGGGCTAGGAAACATGTCATGATTGCACACCTTCACAGGGGAAGCATGCCATGTTGCACACCTTCACAGGGCAAGGAAGTATATCATGATCGCACACCTTCCAAGGGGAAACATGTCATGATTGCACACACCTTCAGAGGGCAAGGAAACATGTCATGATTGCACACACCTTCCCTGAGCTAGGAAACATGTCATGTTGCACACCTTCCGAGGGCAAGGAAACATGTCATGTTGCACACCTTCCCAGGGCAAGGAAACATGTTATGATTTTACACCTTCCCAGGGCAAGGAAACATGTCATGATTGCACACCTTCCCAGGGCAAGGAAACATGTTATGATTGTACACCTTCCCAGGGCACGGAAACATGTCATGATTGCACACCTTCCCAGGGCAAGGAAACATGTTTTTGATTGTACACCTTCCCAGGGCAAGGAAACATCCCATGCTTGCACACACCTTCCCAGGGCAAGGAAACATGGCATGATTGCACACCTTCCCAGGGCAAGGAAACATGGCATGATTGCACACCTTCAAAAGAAAACATGTCATGTTTCTCATGGTTTGGTGAAAGGAGTATGATGCTATAAATGTGTATTTGCATGGATATCTTGAGAAAATTCACTGACCAGTTCCAGAAAATGGATTTCCAGATAGAGAAAACATTTTTGATAGTAATGTCTTCATGTTTCATATAGAGCATCTGGTAGGATAGTTTCCAGATAAGGGTTGTCTGGACAATTAGGGTTCGTCTATATTGATTTTGAAATTTTCATCCCTTTTCCTGTTGTTGCAGTGATGACAGATGAATGCGTGACAGACAGCAACATCACCGACGCCACACACATCATCCACTACAACCTGCCCAAATCAAAAACTAGGTTTGGCAACAGGATGGCTTGTATGCTTGGCTACTTCTATGACTTCTCCAAGGCCAAGGAAGTAAGGATGACCTTGAAATCAAGTTGGGTAGCTCTTACTGACAGTTAAATGGGAATTGTAGCTTCAAAATGAGAAGATTACAATAATGAGAGAATAAATGGTGAATTTGTGGGTGTTGTAAATAAAAACTTCTTGATAATATTTCTTGTTTACATGAATAATACAATCTTTTAAATTTTTGTTAGATGAAGGATTTTGCATGTGATAAATGTAAAGCGTAACAAAGGAAAAATACATTTTGATCAAGAAAAGACTTACTGGTTTCGAGACTTTTCCTTAAAGATAAATGTCTGTATTTTCAAATAAGTAAAATCAAACACTTCATATTTCAGCCCTCTGTCAAACCAACATCATACATATTTGTGACAGACAGAAACAAGAAGGAAGTGAGGAGCTTGGCCAACTTCCTGGAGCGAAGTAACAGCCAGATTCCCAAGGCTATGTCAAACTACATGGCTGGCATGCAGATGGTGAGACAACACTAAGTGTGACCCAGTCTTCTTAACAAGTTCCCTTTTGCAGTTAAGCTTAGCCTACAGCCTTTACAAGCCTGTCTGAATGCCTATCCGAGCTGTCATTTGTTATCCTTCCTGTGGTGCCGTTCTACAAAACTACCTTAGCTCTACAATTTACATAAGTCTATGTTAAAATATGGGAGTTACGATCACCTTTGCGTTATTTTGCTTTTTACAATGGCATCTGCTTTTTGTTTGTTTACATAAAACAGGGATGCAAATATGATACATTGGAAGAAAAAGCGGATAGCTATGACTCCTGCCTCGTATATTATTATTAATCTCTGTAAATGAAAGAAAAACACTTAACTAATAACCTGGCTAACTTTGGGTTCAGTGACAGTAGTTGATAGTTTGACAGTTCTAGCATGTTTCCCTTCTCTGTTTTGAAATATCTTTTTCATTTACGTTAAATTGATGCCAAACAGGTGCACATGTTGTTCACATTAAGATACAGAGTGAAACCGTCTAATTGTTTATCTATTCAGGACACTGTTTAAATTGTAAAATCGGTCATTTGGCAGAAGAGCGGCAAATTCTGACTGGCAAACAAGACCTTTTATACAATTAACAGAAATTATGTGAGATATATACTAATAAACATACCAATGTCATCTTTCTCCGAGCCGCCATATAGCTGGAATATTGCTGAGTGCAGCGTAAAACTAAACTCACTCACTCACTCTTTCTTCGACATCACAAAATGCATGAAGCAAGCCATGACATCAACTAAAACATACTTTTTTTAACAATTTCATTCAGTCAGAAATACATCTACTTAAACAGGAAAATATGTGAAGAACTAATCTACATATTGGATAGGGCCACCCAAATCGCTACTACGTGCTTTCTCATGTGATATGTGTCATCATTTTAAATACTACCAAACGTATCTGGTTACAATGTTTATCTTTGTATTGGAATAGTTTAGTTCACCTTGATTAAACATCACAAACACATAATGTCTATATCCACAGCAAATTTTCTCCAAGTGCACTGAGTTACAATGACCTAGTGTTAAGCATAGCGAAGTTATGCCCCCATATCTTTAAAGTGTGTGACCTCTCTGTCATCGTTTGATGTCATACAGGCAAATTAATTTGCGTCATTTATTGCAAGCTATTTTTAACACTTGAGTGTATAACGTTATACGTAAGAAGACAAACCCATTTCATATATACTTTTATTACTCAGCCGTGGAAGATACTGCAGTGTAATATTTTTACGTCAATATTACACTCATGTAATACTATACTGGCCACATAAAGAAACTGTGCACATAGAAAATATAAATATAGGCACACAGCGTCTTTATACATAAATACATTTGTGAACATAGCAAGTAATTGAGACAATCAAACGCTCATGCACGTGCCAGGCGACGTGACGTCATTGACGGTGGCCTATGGCCTTGCAATGTGTTACTACACGTGCAGCCCGCGCAGCTGCACACAACATGTGAAATTCTGAAATTGCTGTCACAGTCGAAAGCTTGATCTTTGGTCATTCAAACGTTCACAAATTCACATGAGAAGTCACATGCACATCATGCCAAGATTAACATCTACTCAACGTCATGAAGCCATTGGAATGGTTCGAGCAGGAATGAGCCCACAACAGGTGGCAGCACATTTCCAATGCCATCGTAACACGATATCTGCATTGCTCAGGCGTTATCGAAACAGTAATGACGTCGCCAACCACCCACGTTCTGGTTGTTCCCGAGGTAACAACGCCAAGACAAGACAGATGGATTCGGGTGACTCATCTCAGATAAAGGTTCCAGACAGCAGTGACCACGTCCAAGACCATTCCCCAGGCCTTCAATGCTCATTTGGTAGCCTCTATGCGTTTTCGATGCACTACTGTGCTTCACCCCCTACTCGATTTTGAACTTCTGACATCATCATTACGGATATTGTTCATGTTCTTTTGACATTTTGTTGTGGTCCGATACTTCAGCTTATGAAGTGTCTACATCATTTTGTCTTTGGTGTGTTGTATTCCAATTCTGAAGGCATTTTCTGTGTGCACAGTTTCTTTATGCGGCTAGTATATAATGGTAATGCTATTTTTTAGGGCATTATCATTTGCAGAAGCCCGTGGTCTTCCATTAAAAGACCGAGGGCTTCTGCAAATGATAATGCCCTAAAAAATAGCATTACCATTATTATTGCTAAAATACATGGAATTTGTGTTGAAAAGAAAAAGGAAACAATGAAGGAATTTGACTGTAAGTTTACTCAAAACCAACTTCTGACCGGGTTGACTGCCCGAATGCAATTACGTCATCGAACAATTCAAGTGATGTCACAACGGAAAGTGACGATATTCGACCTTGGCCTTTAACAAGACCATAGTCTGCAACATGTCAAACTATGTCAGTGTTCGGTTTTGGTCCAACAACAACGTTAATAGTGCAATGGTTAAGGTTAGCACCAGCAAGAAAGCCAATATTACAGCTATTTAAAGCGGGAATTTGGGTTGCTTTGACTTGTTTGACCCAGAATATCTGCCAGTCCAAAGCCAATGTCGAATGAACTATGACGTCACTTGACAACAGAACTGATAGTTGCCCGTCGTTAAGGTTGAATGGTCCAATACCATTTGCAGCGGCCCGCAAATTTCTGATAATGGGAGGGCCGTTTCATGATAATTCCATGTGTTTTAGCTATAATGCTAGATGTATGACGTCATAATGGTATATAGTTATGACGTCACAATGCTAATGCCTCTGTCACAATGGTATTAGACCTTGTTTGACCTGTGGAAAGCTGAGAGTCATCACACTACATAGGCAGTTTCTATCAATTTATGTTGGAGAGTAATAAACAGAATACTCAACTCGCTTCCGTGAAATACCATTTTTATTAAACTCGTGAAAGATTTAGCATCAAATGCGCTTTCGCTTGTTTGATACCAATTTTCTGAGTTTAGAATGGGCCTTTGTATCAATAGTAAACTTCAAAATTTTAGTGGGCTATTTTTCATTCTAATGTGCAAAATGGCCCATGCCCCTGCCTTTCTCAACTCCTGGTAGTGTTGTTGTTTTTTAAGTTGCGCAAGTATTTGCACTTGAGTTTACACCATCGCTTAGGAAATTAAATATCCCTTATTATTATATTCTTAAGGGTGAAATACTGTAAATATTGGTGAAAATAAAAATGGTATTTTCACTGAGCAGAATAACATGTTATTTCACTGAGTAGAATATCACTTTTGCCTGGAACTCAAGGGCTAGACTGTAGTTGGGTTGCGTAATAAAATGCAGACTTAATCGATGTCTCAATCATTTATACACAATGATCAAAATATAATAAATAGAATATTTTGTTAATGTTGTCAAATAACATGTATATTTCATCTCGCGGTCTGACAAAGTCGATATGTTCACGAGTGGCGCACTAGTTTCTGTGTAATTTTATAGCTGTAGGTAGATCCAGTGGCTCGCGAACAAAATTCTCGTGCAATGTATACTTGTGAGATCTTATGGAAATGTGTCTCAGAAAAAAAGACTCAGTATCCAGGGGGTTAAGACAAATACAGGAGTTATGCATATCAATATGTTTTCTGCTGGCAGTAAAATAATCGAAACATTGTAACCTGTACAAATTAATTACCTATATGTGGCAAATACACAAACAGCATAATTCGTGGGTTTACTTTGGGGCTTGCTCAACTGCTAGAGTTTGGGAGACACTTTCAACCAAGTACACTTACAATAATTTCTTAAGTGAACATTATTATCATACATATCATCCTACACAAGCTGAACGTAATCATAGTTCTGTTAGTGGTCAGCATGTCTAGGGGTGCCTAACTTTGTTCCAGGTGTATATGATATAGCGGCAAAAGCTGTTTCAGTAAATCAAATTATGCTAGCTGCAGTTACATTGCGTACGATAGAGATTGACTTGGTTCAACAGACTAAAAGTTTGAGGAACTCTTTAGTTCACTTAATGTTTTCTGAGGAACTTACTTTTAAGAGGATGAATTGTCACTGACAACTACAGTTAGTAGGTTGTTTGGCAAATTTATATTGTTGAGCAAAAAAGATGTCCTTATTTTGTGATAGCTTGTTATATTATTCCCATGTACTGCTCATGTGCCATCCATTAAGGGAGGGACCGCCTCCATGGTGTAGTGGTTAGAGCGTCCGCCCGCGGAGAACGGAAGGTCGCGGGTTCGATCCCCGACCGCGTCATACCAAAAGACGTTAAAATATGGTACCTGTTGGTCCCTGCCTGGCGCTCGGCATTAATGGGTACAACAAGGACTGGTCGGCTCAGAGTCAGTATAATGTGTCTGAGTGGGGTATTCGTGCTTCACTGCGGCATGGTATCTCAGTGGGCTAGCACTATAAAACCAGCTTCAGTCTGGGCTAGTACAAGCAGCCGCACATACACATACACACGCATGCACGTCGTGATATGAGCGAAATATTCTCAAGCACGACGTTAAACCCAATTTCACCTCACCTCATTAAGGGAGGTTTGCAGTATGTTGATTCATATTTTGTTTGTTGTAATCGTGATAATGAAAGGGTTCAATGGTTTGAATATTTGAAGTTTGAAGACATTAACTTCTATAATGAGAAAAAATAAAATAATTTTACCTGTAAAACATTTGAAGAAATGATGTTCTCAGTTCTCTCTTCTTTTCCTTTGTTTGACATTAGACAGTCCAAGTTTGTTTTTATGATTTCAAGATACTGGCATTAATTGGGCTCTTACACGTGTATGATTTGATGCCATCTTCAACAATCATTTTAAACTTTTACACTCTTGATTGAAAAAGAATACTTTCCTGACAGAAAATATGCTTTCATGGTTATGTGACCATCGAATCAGTTGTTATTGTCATTTGATACACCTTGTTGAACAATCGGAATCAGGTATTTTCTTAATTAGAGTTAGAAATATGATTTGTCATACAGTTAAGCTGTTATTTCCATG